TTCATGCATAATACCCCATTGCATAGCCGTTGTCTTCGGCATGTTGGAGTAACCCATGATCGTCTTCACCAAGCTGTCTGGGGATGTAGTCTCCCTACGGTTTACGATGACATGAAAAATAGAGGAAGTGATGCGGCCAACCCGAATGTCACGCCAAAGTGGCGATCTTGACTGCTTCTTCGTGACACTCTCGATATAGGAGGCCAGGCTGCTGTCAATGGAGCTATCATTAGCAAGATCAGTGCACATCGCCACAACAACATCCTCATCCAGGTCATCACTGAACTGATCTGTCCTAGGGTGTCGTGAAATAACCAACTGCTTAGCCTGCTTATCCAAAGTGTGCATAGCATGCTTCTTGGCCAAAGATGGGTGGTTCCAGAATTGGAACAAGCCAGATGTTGGCAGCTTTGATGCAAATGTATCCAGTAATTCCTGGACACAATGGTCGTCCACAGCAAGGTCTTGAGCAGCTCTCGGTTCAAAGGTGGACAGAGAACCTCCACAGACCTTGCGGGATTCCTTGCCATAGGCAGTGGCCTCAAACACAGCGTCCGCCAACGGGACAGCAGGTACCGATAGCTGGGGTGGAGGACGATGCCACGACATCAAGCGTCCAGTGCATGTTGCGTCTGCCTGTATTGTTGTGGCGTCTTTCTCCTTACAGTCCAGGAGGTAGAACAGGAGCGCGGCGACATGACTGCAGCTCTCACCCAGTCCAGCAGCACACTTGCACCTGGCACTATACACAGCCCCTTGAGGCGACATAGTAATAAAAACTGGGTAGGCCGATTTCTCCCGTGACGGATAAGACTGGTGCACATGCCCTCTAGCATAGATGTACTGGGGCTTCACGGGATCAGGGCAGCACATCCACACATTGGAAACCCACCCGCTGGTGAAATAGCTATAGCCTTTCAGTGACTTGAAGTTGCTGCGCTGACGGTCAGACGAGGATTTGTCCCTCACTTCCACGAGGTACGTGTATATGTCCCCGTAAATAAAATTATCAATAAGGAAATCGTGTACCCAACACGAGACAGAATCATACGTTGGCAAGGCTTCCAATTCTGCCGTGATCTCCACTGTTTTCGCGGACGCTTCTGGCGCAACATGTGGCGGCGCTGAGGCTGCAGAAGACGTCTCAGCAAGTCCAACAAGGGTCTCCACCAACTCAGTTTTCCTCTTATTGCTGTGGACAATTTTGAAATGTCTGCACAGCTCCTTCAGCACAGGCACGTTTGCTGACTCCAAGCGTTTCCTCAACTTGTCGACATCACCCTGTTGAGACTGCACTGCCTCGACAAGCTCCTTGAGGGATGCCATGTCGGGGAGAGAAAGGAAATGTCAACGATAGCAATTGTTCTCAATACAAAATGATGTGCAAACAGCACAAAAACCCGAGTCTTTTGCCTTACGCTGCGCCGTGGGCGTCAGGTCACGTGCACTTTGTGAAAGTGGTCTATGTTGCATGTGGTGTGACATGCAGCACCTGCAAGAGCACTCTAAGGGTTGCTGTATGGATATCTAGAATGCCTCTCAGGGCTGTCCGTAGGTTCCTGGGCGTACTTCTGTATTTTTTTATTTTTATTTTTTTTATTACTTTATTTTTTCTGTATGGACGCTACATGTCATTGCAGTCGTGGGGCTTGCAAGCCCAGTGTCACTGTTCTGGAAAACTGTGTTGTTACTAATTACTTACCCAGTACTTATATGTTGCCTGAACTATGCAAAGCCAGGAATGCAGGTAGTGGCACGATGATTATACCGACTCTTGAGCTTTGAATATAAACATGGTCTGATAACAAATATTTTGAGAAACTTGACAGAGTTCAAGTGCGTGAGAAACTGGGAAACCTGTCGCTCCGGTAGCAGTGGCAAGTCATGTCACAGACACAGGGCAAGTCAGGTACGCTTGTGTCAGTTTTCAATGGGAAACTTCAAATCCTGAACACCCCGTGGGCTTGACATGACTTCATGTTAGCGGCAACTGTACTCCCCCTCCCGGCCATAGCAGTGACGTGTGCCACGACTGGTATTATTGGACTCGGATACAGAGCGAAGGATAAATTTATAGAAAAGAAAAAGGACCGAGGAACTACAAAGCTGACTGTTTAGTATCTGGTGGTGTAAATGGACATTAAAGCGTAACTTGTAGTTAATTAGTCCTTTTTCCTTTCTATAAACTGGTATTATTATAAATCTTTACAACCCCGTTTGTGTCTTTCCCTCAGACCAGGGAAAACAACAATAAGAGGATGAAAAGGCGATTTTTACTGCAAGTTTCATGCACTAAGCAATCCTCAGAAAACAGCCAACCAGCTCTGCTTTTCGGCATTGAGCACCATTTTGGACAGCCTGCAACCTCTCTGTTTAAATATTCACAATGATGTTCAGAATCTTTTCACGGCACCGCACATATCGATGTGAGTAGGCAATATGTGTACGTGTGTCACTATGACATCCTGAATATGGAGTACGTGCTCATGGAGACTTCACTGTGAAACCTAGCACCTGTGGGTTCCGCTTGGCCACCGCCAGACCCAGGGTTCACAGGATATGTGCACAAGTCATCATAGACAGGTGGTGTAATCTTCAAGAACATCAGCCATTGCACTCTCACGTCATCGATATCCTAACTTCTACTGTAACACGTTAACCTTCGTCGCCAATGCTACATGCTACATGCTACATGCTACATGCTACATGCTACATGTATGTTCTGGAATGCCGTTATTGATCAGCTAACTTGCGAACCAAATGTGCTGACAATGACAAGTCGGAGACCAAGAACCAGGATACATAAAATACAGCAAGGGAACAAGACTGATACCACATTTTCCGGAGTATAAATAAGCCACCCTTTGAACGCTCAAAATTTACCCCAAAAAGGGGGTGCGGCTTATACTCCGTCCATCAAATTAAAGGGGAAGTTAAGGCAAAAATTAAAATTTCACCAGTTGTCGTCTTCGGGGTGCTGAGTCGAATGGTCTTGGTCCGAGAAAGCTGAGACGCTCCCTTCCTACTTGAATCCCAATCGAACTCGCGCACTTCCACCGAAACTGGGTGACTGCGCCCTACTAGATGGGGATTTGTATGCAAAATGTCACTAAAAGCGCCATTTCGTTCTTATAAAAGCACGGATGACCGCGATTGGCCCATATGTTGTAGTCTTTTGGACGCTGAGTCGACTGGTTTTGGTCCGAAAAGGCTGCGATGCAGCGTTCCTCCTTTATTCCCAATCGAACATGGTTGAACAAGTGGTCACGTGCTCCTGGGTGCCCAAATCACCTGGTCACCACGCCAGCAGGTGACAACTTTCACACCAAGGTTCAACTCGAGTGACAGGACTGCACCCAAAAATGGTCAAACAGGCTAGTAAGTTGTACCCTGCAGGCACGGTGACCAGGTGACTGGCGTACGCAGGAGCACGTGACCGCTTGTTCAACCATGTTCGATTGGGAATAAAGGAGGAACGCTGCATCGCAGCCTTTTCGGACCAAAACCAGTCGACTCAGCGTCCAAAAGACTACAACATATGGGCCAATCGCGGTCATCCGTGCTTTTATAAGAACGAAATGGCGCTTTTAGTGAGATTTTGCATACAAATCCCCATCTAGTAGGGCGCAGTCACCCAGTTTCGGTGGAAGTGCGCGAGTTCGATTGGGATTCAAGTAGGAAGGGAGCGTCTCAGCTTCCTCGGACCACGACCATTCGACTCGGCACCCCGAAGACTACAACTGGTGAAATTTTAATTTTTGCCTTAACTTCCCCTTTAACGGTGATAAAAGGGTAGATGTGTGTAATTCATGGCATAAAGGGGGGGAGGGGGGCTTATACTCTAGTGCGGCTTATACTCCGGAAATATGGTAAAAAAATAAATAATATACAGTACCATAATATCATTCTAATCTCAACCAGGAGGTCTGCTACATCATGGGTGGTATTGCAACACAGGTTCACAGGACTCAGTGGCCTTGCAATACATGACACAGTAAACCTGTAACTAAAGACCACCGTGACTAGCGATCAGCCTGGCACTACAGACCACTTCGCCAGGCACGGACGGTCTCACAATCATATAATGGTAGTGCGGTGCAAACCTCTAACTAAGGCCCACCTGCCACTAAAGACCGCTTTCTCCGGCCCCAAGGGGTGGTTGTTAGTCACAGGTTTGACTGTGATAACTTGTTTCCTGTTCACTGTAATACATTGCCAGCTGATTGCTCAGCCTGAAACTCGTTGCAACACCCCGTTCTGTGTTTCTGTGTAAGACATCTCTAGCCTTGTGTATTGAGCTCAGGTTTGAAAGTGGAACTGTCGCCTTGTGTGCATGTGCAAATGTGTGCTTTGCGGTATGTATCTATAGTTGGCCGGAGGCTGAAGTATGCCGGGGATAATATTTCCCCACTCTGGAAAAATGCAAAAAAAAGGTATTATAGGTAGTTGTTACTTCGAGTGTCACGCCACGGGTTGATCATCAGATAATGATGCTATCACTGTGCAGGGCAATCAGATGTACATGAAGATGTGTAAAACCAAGTAGAGGAGCTCATCCAGCCCCCCCCCCCCCCCTACCCTCTCTTTCCTTTGTTCACATCACCTTCCAACCTGGTTAACACCTGCTCCAGTGTTTGATGGGATATTGCCATTGGAGTGGAGCATCTCATTCTTGTTTTGGCTGAATGAGTGACCAGTCATCTACCATCAGAGTGTTCAGCCACCCCAAATAATAGTGTCTGCAATCATTTTACTGCAGAACGGCTGATTTTAGGTAGTAACATGCCTAGCGTTTTCTGAATCTGGACCAATTCGCGATGAAAATAATATCAGCAATGCAAGTTTCAGAGTTTAGAAAGAAGGATGACTAGTACTGTATTGTACACGCAAAATTTCGATTGGTGCAGCAAAACAATACTTTCGCTAAAATTACTAAAATATCACCGGCGCTGAAATTAGCGGTTTTATAATATTCTGTAATCACGACTTGTTTCTTGCAGGACAATCGTGACTTCATGCTCGTCTTTGGTGGAGTCACTTACCGCAAAGCAACATCGGTCATCTTGCTTCAACGAGAGTGTATTCACTCCGTTGGAAATGGCACGGACGAAGCAGCGCTGTGTTGCCGGGGCACGGCCACAAGTAAGTGTTTATCATCTCCCTGGATGATTGTGTAAGGAGGCACCCGAGACCCCGCCTGGCCTGGTTAGCCATGTGCCATGTACATGCAAATACACAAGGGGTTCAGGACCGCCGGACCGCCGGCCAAAACGTTAGTCCGGTGATAACTTAACCAACCGGACAGGTTCCCACAGGCCTAGGGCTTCTCTTTGTTCGAATACATTCCCTAAATCCAACATGAATGCTACAAGGATACCTGCTACCAAGGCTGTCGACCAGCCTGGTCTTGAGTGATAACACGTGCAGTATGGCTCTCGACCAGCCATAAGCTGTGTCCTGGTCCAAAGTCGCATGGGATAACCCCATCCGTCATTGTACTTGAATTGGTGGAAATTGTGTAAAAATGTTTGGCTCTGTTGCCTTCAGTTCCACTTCTCACAAAGGTCACGATGTGTATGTAGCTCTTATGATATTGTTAGCTCCCAGCTAAACGCAGTCCCCTCGCACTCTTAGAACGCAGGGTTTTGTAGTATTGAATAATTGTATGGAAGAAGTATTTACTGTATTTTATGCTTCTGCATGTTTGCTTTGCCACTGCTGCTGCTGTTGCTGCTGTTACTGCTCCTGCTGCTGCGTGTCCTGCCGCTGCTGCTGCTGCTGCTGCTGCTGTTGCTGCTGTTACTGCTTCTCCTGCTGCTGCGTGTCCTGCCGCTGCTGCTGCTGCTGCTGTTGCCGTAACAGATGAAGTCTGGGCGTACGTGATAGTGGACAAGTACTGGCTGGAGATATCCAGAGAGATAGGCCCCTCGGAGAGGTTTGACCACTCTGCTGATAGTCTCCGGGACAAGTCTGGTAAGTCAGTGTGATGATGACATTCACTGTACCCAGGCTGGCTGAGCCAGAGGACCTGCAGGGTATGCCGTTGCATCACGGAAATCCGTATCGTTCTGCGAGAACTGTGGCAATACGCCCAGTGGGAAAGCAGATAATGCCTGTGCATATGGTGAAGTAAAATAAAGCTAAACAAACAAACATATCTCTTGCGTGTGATGGCGCCAGGCTGATCAGCACAGCCTTCGTTTGTGTGCATCTATCGTAAAGTACTGCCAGGGTACCCCGTTTGTGGTGTTGGTGCATGCGCGTGTCGCTGTGGTGTGAAAAGCAGTCTTTGTCTTGAGTTCGTCATGTCTAGTTGTATTTCAGTAGTCTTCTTGTAACGAGAGAGCTTGGAAGCTCGGGGCCCTACGCTATGCTTTTTTGCCTTGATGACCTAGACAAAAAAAGCATAGGGATGTTATAAATTCTTATAAATTTCTACTTTTTGTTTTTAGACATAACCTGGGATTCGAACCCGCACTATCGCCCTGCATGCATCCCCGATACACTTCGCATACATACTAATTCTTCCAAGTTGCTTCACGTTATGATCTTGTATTTGAAAGCCCTATTTGAATATGCATTGTGGCCAGCCGTCTTTGATTGTACTGTACGGTACGGGACAGGTACGGGACAGGTACGGTCGAGGGTAATACGACGCCATCTACCGCCTTGATGATGGCAAAAAAAGAATAGGGATGTTATACATTTTTCAATTTTCCTATTTTTTCAGGCATTACCTGGGATTCGAACCCGCACTATCGCCCTACATGCATTCCCCCATACACTTCGCATTCATACTCATTCTTCCAAGTTGCTTCAGGTTCTGATCTTGCGTTTGAAAGCCCTATTTGAATAGTGCGGCCAGCTGTATGTGGCCAGCTGTGTTTGATGGTACGGTATGGTATGGGACAGATACGGGATAGCGCCAGGCGTGACACAAACACACAAACAAACAAACACCAAATTAAAGCTGTGTGGACCCTGGCTAGCGCCAGACGTTACTGAAGTAACGTCTTCTGCATGGCTACGGGAATAAACCATCTTTCTTAATGTTCACTAGTTTGAGGGAAAGAGACAAACGGGAAAACTTCTTAATGTAGTTATTGTTGTCCAATTGTATAAGTGTGGAGATGACATGGGGTTGGGAGCAGGTGGAGAAAAGCCATCTACAACAGAATGTGTTGACCATGTTCTATTGATGTACATGTGTGTGTACAGGTATTTTGATGTACGGTGGACGTACGTATCTGTACTATCGCAACGGTAGCTTGCAAGGCAGCCAGCTGTTCAGTGATGTGTGGATATTCACCCTGTCCACCGCACTGTCACGATACGACTTTGGCAAGTGGATACAGGTAAGGGATAAGCCACACAGGGGCCAGGGGCAGGGGAGTATGACTTTGGTGAGTGGATACAGGTAAGGGATAAGCCACACAGGGGCCAGGGGCAGGGGAGTATGACTTTGGCAAGTGGATACAGGTAAGGGATAAGCCACACAGGGGCCAGGGGCAGGGGAGTATGACTTTGGCAAGTGGATACAAGTATGTGAAAACATCCCTTTTGAGATCATTATTTTGAAGTAAACCCAGTCGATGTAACGAACATTGAAGTTCTACCTCGCTCCGGAGATGAGGCTGTTGGGGTGACACATTCAGCTGCTTAGAATGTCTCCCATTCTCAACATATCTCAACATACGATAATTATGTTCTTACTCTTGTGACTGTGACGGTGGGTTTGTGGATTCTGCTTTTAAAAAGTTAGTCAACAGTGAGCCGGAGATGCTGCTGCTGCATTGCTGCTGCTGCATTGCTGCTGCTGCATTGCTGCTGCTGCATTGCTGCTGCTGCATTGCTGCTGCTGCATTGCTGCTGCTGCATTGCTGCTGCTGCATTGCTGCTGCTGCATTGCTGCTGCTGCATTGCTGCTGCTGCATTGCTGCTGCTGCATTGCTGCTGCTGCATTGCTGCTGCTGCATTGCTGCTGCTGCATTGCTGCTGCTGCATTGCTGCTGCTGCATTGCTGCTGCTGCATTGCTGCTGCTGCATTGCTGCTGCTGCATTGCTGCTGCTGCATTGCTGCTGCTGCATTGCTGCTGCTGCATTGCTGCTGCTGCATTGCTGCTGCTGCATTGCTGCTGCTGCATTGCTGCTGCTGCATTGCTGCTGCTGCATTGCTGCTGCTGCATTGCTGCTGCTGCATTGCTGCTGCTGCATTGCTGCTGCTGCATTGCTGCTGCTGCATTGCTGCTGCTGCATTGCTGCTGCTGCATTGCTGCTGCTGCATTGCTGCTGCTGCATTGCTGCTGCTGCATTGCTGCTGCTGCATTGCTGCTGCTGCATTGCTGCTGCTGCATTGCTGCTGCTGCATTGCTGCTGCTGCATTGCTGCTGCTGCATTGCTGCTGCTGCATTGCTGCTGCTGCATTGCTGCTGCTGCATTGCTGCTGCTGCATTGCTGCTGCTGCATTGCTGCTGCTGCATTGCTGCTGCTGCATTGCTGCTGCTGCATTGCTGCTGCTGCATTGCTGCTGCTGCATTGCTGCTGCTGCATTGCTGCTGCTGCATTGCTGCTGCTGCATTGCTGCTGCTGCATTGCTGCTGCTGCATTGCTGCTGCTGCATTGCTGCTGCTGCATTGCTGCTGCTGCATTGCTGCTGCTGCATTGCTGCTGCTGCATTGCTGCTGCTGCATTGCTGCTGCTGCATTGCTGCTGCTGCATTGCTGCTGCTGCATTGCTGCTGCTGCATTGCTGCTGCTGCATTGCTGCTGCTGCATTGCTGCTGCTGCATTGCTGCTGCTGCATTGCTGCTGCTGCATTGCTGCTGCTGCATTGCTGCTGCTGCATTGCTGCTGCTGCATTGCTGCTGCTGCATTGCTGCTGCTGCATTGCTGCTGCTGCATTGCTGCTGCTGCATTGCTGCTGCTGCATTGCTGCTGCTGCATTGCTGCTGCTGCATTGCTGCTGCTGCATTGCTGCTGCTGCATTGCTGCTGCTGCATTGCTGCTGCTGCATTGCTGCTGCTGCATTGCTGCTGCTGCATTGCTGCTGCTGCATTGCTGCTGCTGCATTGCTGCTGCTGCATTGCTGCTGCTGCATTGCTGCTGCTGCATTGCTGCTGCTGCATTGCTGCTGCTGCATTGCTGCTGCTGCATTGCTGCTGCTGCATTGCTGCTGCTGCATTGCTGCTGCTGCATTGCTGCTGCTGCATTGCTGCTGCTGCATTGCTGCTGCTGCATTGCTGCTGCTGCATTGCTGCTGCTGCATTGCTGCTGCTGCATTGCTGCTGCTGCATTGCTGCTGCTGCATTGCTGCTGCTGCATTGCTGCTGCTGCATTGCTGCTGCTGCATTGCTGCTGCTGCATTGCTGCTGCTGCATTGCTGCTGCTGCATTGCTGCTGCTGCATTGCTGCTGCTGCATTGCTGCTGCTGCATTGCTGCTGCTGCATTGCTGCTGCTGCATTGCTGCTGCTGCATTGCTGCTGCTGCATTGCTGCTGCTGCATTGCTGCTGCTGCATTGCTGCTGCTGCATTGCTGCTGCTGCATTGCTGCTGCTGCATTGCTGCTGCTGCATTGCTGCTGCTGCATTGCTGCTGCTGCATTGCTGCTGCTGCATTGCTGCTGCTGCATTGCTGCTGCTGCATTGCTGCTGCTGCATTGCTGCTGCTGCATTGCTGCTGCTGCATTGCTGCTGCTGCATTGCTGCTGCTGCATTGCTGCTGCTGCATTGCTGCTGCTGCATTGCTGCTGCTGCATTGCTGCTGCTGCATTGCTGCTGCTGCATTGCTGCTGCTGCATTGCTGCTGCTGCATTGCTGCTGCTGCATTGCTGCTGCTGCATTGCTGCTGCTGCATTGCTGCTGCTGCATTGCTGCTGCTGCATTGCTGCTGCTGCATTGCTGCTGCTGCATTGCTGCTGCTGCATTGCTGCTGCTGCATTGCTGCTGCTGCATTGCTGCTGCTGCATTGCTGCTGCTGCATTGCTGCTGCTGCATTGCTGCTGCTGCATTGCTGCTGCTGCATTGCTGCTGCTGCATTGCTGCTGCTGCATTGCTGCTGCTGCATTGCTGCTGCTGCATTGCTGCTGCTGCATTGCTGCTGCTGCATTGCTGCTGCTGCATTGCTGCTGCTGCATTGCTGCTGCTGCATTGCTGCTGCTGCATTGCTGCTGCTGCATTGCTGCTGCTGCATTGCTGCTGCTGCATTGCTGCTGCTGCATTGCTGCTGCTGCATTGCTGCTGCTGCATTGCTGCTGCTGCATTGCTGCTGCTGCATTGCTGCTGCTGCATTGCTGCTGCTGCATTGCTGCTGCTGCATTGCTGCTGCTGCATTGCTGCTGCTGCATTGCTGCTGCTGCATTGCTGCTGCTGCATTGCTGCTGCTGCATTGCTGCTGCTGCATTGCTGCTGCTGCATTGCTGCTGCTGCATTGCTGCTGCTGCATTGCTGCTGCTGCATTGCTGCTGCTGCATTGCTGCTGCTGCATTGCTGCTGCTGCATTGCTGCTGCTGCATTGCTGCTGCTGCATTGCTGCTGCTGCATTGCTGCTGCTGCATTGCTGCTGCTGCATTGCTGCTGCTGCATTGCTGCTGCTGCATTGCTGCTGCTGCATTGCTGCTGCTGCATTGCTGCTGCTGCATTGCTGCTGCTGCATTGCTGCTGCTGCATTGCTGCTGCTGCATTGCTGCTGCTGCATTGCTGCTGCTGCATTGCTGCTGCTGCATTGCTGCTGCTGCATTGCTGCTGCTGCATTGCTGCTGCTGCATTGCTGCTGCTGCATTGCTGCTGCTGCATTGCTGCTGCTGCATTGCTGCTGCTGCATTGCTGCTGCTGCATTGCTGCTGCTGCATTGCTGCTGCTGCATTGCTGCTGCTGCATTGCTGCTGCTGCATTGCTGCTGCTGCATTGCTGCTGCTGCATTGCTGCTGCTGCATTGCTGCTGCTGCATTGCTGCTGCTGCATTGCTGCTGCTGCATTGCTGCTGCTGCATTGCTGCTGCTGCATTGCTGCTGCTGCATTGCTGCTGCTGCATTGCTGCTGCTGCATTGCTGCTGCTGCATTGCTGCTGCTGCATTGCTGCTGCTGCATTGCTGCTGCTGCATTGCTGCTGCTGCATTGCTGCTGCTGCATTGCTGCTGCTGCATTGCTGCTGCTGCATTGCTGCTGCTGCATTGCTGCTGCTGCATTGCTGCTGCTGCATTGCTGCTGCTGCATTGCTGCTGCTGCATTGCTGCTGCTGCATTGCTGCTGCTGCATTGCTGCTGCTGCATTGCTGCTGCTGCATTGCTGCTGCTGCATTGCTGCTGCTGCATTGCTGCTGCTGCATTGCTGCTGCTGCATTGCTGCTGCTGCATTGCTGCTGCTGCATTGCTGCTGCTGCATTGCTGCTGCTGCATTGCTGCTGCTGCATTGCTGCTGCTGCATTGCTGCTGCTGCATTGCTGCTGCTGCATTGCTGCTGCTGCATTGCTGCTGCTGCATTGCTGCTGCTGCATTGCTGCTGCTGCATTGCTGCTGCTGCATTGCTGCTGCTGCATTGCTGCTGCTGCATTGCTGCTGCTGCATTGCTGCTGCTGCATTGCTGCTGCTGCATTGCTGCTGCTGCATTGCTGCTGCTGCATTGCTGCTGCTGCATTGCTGCTGCTGCATTGCTGCTGCTGCATTGCTGCTGCTGCATTGCTGCTGCTGCATTGCTGCTGCTGCATTGCTGCTGCTGCATTGCTGCTGCTGCATTGCTGCTGCTGCATTGCTGCTGCTGCATTGCTGCTGCTGCATTGCTGCTGCTGCATTGCTGCTGCTGCATTGCTGCTGCTGCATTGCTGCTGCTGCATTGCTGCTGCTGCATTGCTGCTGCTGCATTGCTGCTGCTGCATTGCTGCTGCTGCATTGCTGCTGCTGCATTGCTGCTGCTGCATTGCTGCTGCTGCATTGCTGCTGCTGCATTGCTGCTGCTGCATTGCTGCTGCTGCATTGCTGCTGCTGCATTGCTGCTGCTGCATTGCTGCTGCTGCATTGCTGCTGCTGCATTGCTGCTGCTGCATTGCTGCTGCTGCATTGCTGCTGCTGCATTGCTGCTGCTGCATTGCTGCTGCTGCATTGCTGCTGCTGCATTGCTGCTGCTGCATTGCTGCTGCTGCATTGCTGCTGCTGCATTGCTGCTGCTGCATTGCTGCTGCTGCATTGCTGCTGCTGCATTGCTGCTGCTGCATTGCTGCTGCTGCATTGCTGCTGCTGCATTGCTGCTGCTGCATTGCTGCTGCTGCATTGCTGCTGCTGCATTGCTGCTGCTGCATTGCTGCTGCTGCATTGCTGCTGCTGCATTGCTGCTGCTGCATTGCTGCTGCTGCATTGCTGCTGCTGCATTGCTGCTGCTGCATTGCTGCTGCTGCATTGCTGCTGCTGCATTGCTGCTGCTGCATTGCTGCTGCTGCATTGCTGCTGCTGCATTGCTGCTGCTGCATTGCTGCTGCTGCATTGCTGCTGCTGCATTGCTGCTGCTGCATTGCTGCTGCTGCATTGCTGCTGCTGCATTGCTGCTGCTGCATTGCTGCTGCTGCATTGCTGCTGCTGCATTGCTGCTGCTGCATTGCTGCTGCTGCATTGCTGCTGCTGCATTGCTGCTGCTGCATTGCTGCTGCTGCATTGCTGCTGCTGCATTGCTGCTGCTGCATTGCTGCTGCTGCATTGCTGCTGCTGCATTGCTGCTGCTGCATTGCTGCTGCTGCATTGCTGCTGCTGCATTGCTGCTGCTGCATTGCTGCTGCTGCATTGCTGCTGCTGCATTGCTGCTGCTGCATTGCTGCTGCTGCATTGCTGCTGCTGCATTGCTGCTGCTGCATTGCTGCTGCTGCATTGCTGCTGCTGCATTGCTGCTGCTGCATTGCTGCTGCTGCATTGCTGCTGCTGCATTGCTGCTGCTGCATTGCTGCTGCTGCATTGCTGCTGCTGCATTGCTGCTGCTGCATTGCTGCTGCTGCATTGCTGCTGCTGCATTGCTGCTGCTGCATTGCTGCTGCTGCATTGCTGCTGCTGCATTGCTGCTGCTGCATTGCTGCTGCTGCATTGCTGCTGCTGCATTGCTGCTGCTGCATTGCTGCTGCTGCATTGCTGCTGCTGCATTGCTGCTGCTGCATTGCTGCTGCTGCATTGCTGCTGCTGCATTGCTGCTGCTGCATTGCTGCTGCTGCATTGCTGCTGCTGCATTGCTGCTGCTGCATTGCTGCTGCTGCATTGCTGCTGCTGCATTGCTGCTGCTGCATTGCTGCTGCTGCATTGCTGCTGCTGCATTGCTGCTGCTGCATTGCTGCTGCTGCATTGCTGCTGCTGCATTGCTGCTGCTGCATTGCTGCTGCTGCATTGCTGCTGCTGCATTGCTGCTGCTGCATTGCTGCTGCTGCATTGCTGCTGCTGCATTGCTGCTGCTGCATTGCTGCTGCTGCATTGCTGCTGCTGCATTGCTGCTGCTGCATTGCTGCTGCTGCATTGCTGCTGCTGCATTGCTGCTGCTGCATTGCTGCTGCTGCATTGCTGCTGCTGCATTGCTGCTGCTGCATTGCTGCTGCTGCATTGCTGCTGCTGCATTGCTGCTGCTGCATTGCTGCTGCTGCATTGCTGCTGCTGCATTGCTGCTGCTGCATTGCTGCTGCTGCATTGCTGCTGCTGCATTGCTGCTGCTGCATTGCTGCTGCTGCATTGCTGCTGCTGCATTGCTGCTGCTGCATTGCTGCTGCTGCATTGCTGCTGCTGCATTGCTGCTGCTGCATTGCTGCTGCTGCATTGCTGCTGCTGCATTGCTGCTGCTGCATTGCTGCTGCTGCATTGCTGCTGCTGCATTGCTGCTGCATTGCTGCTGCTGCATTGCTGCTGCTGCATTGCTGCTGCTGCATTGCTGCTGCTGCATTGCTGCTGCTGTGACTGCTGCTGCTGCACTGCTGCTGCTGCATTGCTGCTGCTGCATTGCTGCTGCTGCATTGCTGCTGATGTGACTGCTGCTGCTGCATTGCTGCTGATGTGACTGCTGCTGCTGCATTGCTGCTGATGTGACTGCTGCTGCTGCATTGCTGCTGATGTGACTGCTGCTGCTGCATTGCTGCTGATGTGACTGCTGCTGCTGCATTGCTGCTGATGTGACTGCTGCTGCTGCATTGCTGCTGATGTGACTGCTGCTGCTGCATTGCTGCTGATGTGACTGCTGCTGCTGCATTGCTGCTGCTGCATTGCTGCTGATGTGACTGCTGCTGCTGCATTGCTGCTGATGTGACTGCTGCTGCTGCATTGCTGCTGATGTGACTGCTGCTGCTGCATTGCTGCTGATGTGACTGCTGCTGCTGCATTGCTGCTGATGTGACTGCTGCTGCTGCATTGCTGCTGATGTGACTGCTGCTGCTGCATTGCTGCTGATGTGACTGCTGCTGCTGCATTGCTGCTGATGTGACTGCTGCTGCTGCATTGCTGCTGATGTGACTGCTGCTGCTGCATTGCTGCTGATGTGACTGCTGCTGCTGCATTGCTGCTGATGTGACTGCTGCTGCTGCATTGCTGCTGATGTGACTGCTGCTGCTGCATTGCTGCTGATGTGACTGCTGCTGCTGCATTGCTGCTGATGTGACTGCTGCTGCTGCATTGCTGCTGATGTGACTGCTGCTGCTGCATTGCTGCTGCATTGCTGCTGCATTGCTGCTGCATTGCTGCTGATGTGACTGCTGCTGCTGCATTGCTGCTGATGTGACTGCTGCTGCTGCATTGCTGCTGCATTGCTGCTGCATTGCTGCTGCATTGCTGCTGCATTGCTGCTGCATTGCTGCTGATGTGACTGCTGCTGCTGCATTGCTGCTGCATTGCTGCTGCATTGCTGCTGCATTGCTGCTGATGTGACTGCTGCTGCTGCATTGCTGCTGCATTGCTGCTGATGTGACTGCTGCTGCTGCATTGCTGCTGATGTGACTGCTGCTGCTGCATTGCTGCTGATGTGACTGATGCTGCTGCATTGCTGCTGATGGGACTGGTGCTGCTGGAGCCCTTTTGAAATTACCCGTACACCCTCCCCTGTTTATACTCTAGCCTTATAGATACAAGTCCCAACCAGCGATGACACACACATGCTGTACACTGGTGGTGTAAGCTGTTTGGAAATAACCCGTGCGCCTTGATCCTTGAAGGGTGGTGGCGTTCCTACAGATGCGGAAAACTCGGCTTCTAGTCGGGTCTGATGCGAACCGTGATTTTTTTTAAATTGATTCTCTGTATGTATGCTACAGGTACAGGTCCCAACAAGTGGCAGCGCATCACCGGGTGCGAGGTTCGGCTCGGTACTGGGAACCATCGACGACTCGACGTTTGCGGTGTTCGGCGGCTGCCTGTCGACGGGATTCCACTGCGACGACTTCCGCACGGACCTGTGGATTCTGAAGGTTACGCCCAGTATCACCGCCTCCAGTACTCTACAGGAACAGAGCACGTTCACTGGCGTCTGGTCAAGGATTGATACTGAACAGTCGCAAGCACCACCGCCATCAGCTTACTACAATATGCAATATACAGGTAGGAACGAACAACCGGCGTCCGGAACAGTTTACACTTGACACTCCATACGTACAGATCAATGCAATATTGTGTTTCAGCTCACTGCTAATGGGACGCTTGTCTGTGTTTGCCTTCATAAACGGATGTTTACCCTCTAGCACCACCAGTTACTAAACAAGCAGCTCATGCGATAACATTGCACGACAATGACCGACGGCACTGACGTTCTACAACTAACTGGCTAACAGCTCTAGCACATATTGGATGCGCACGCCAACAGCCTTCCAATTTGGAAGGTTCTAAGTTATAGAAATAACATAAAGGGGAAGGTTAGCGCAACCAAGATAAGCACGAGCTGAAAGTCTGAGCTGTGAAGGATGTTGGCGGATGTTCATGCATGTCGATGACGATACTGGCAAGACCATTGGACAATACGGTCAAACCACGATTCAAGGACGCAAAGCAACATTCCACACACCTTGTGCGGCTCAAAAGATCAGAACATCAGTACCGTCGGCCAGTGTCGTGCAATGTTATCACATGAGCTGATTGTTTAGTAACTGGTGGTGTTAGTGGACAGTATAGTGTTACCCTCTAGCAGTGGCAGGCGCGTGCGCCGGTGCCCTTCAAGGGAGGGGGGGGGTTCCGGGGGCCTCCGCGGGAAAATTTTCAAAAAATGAAGCAAAATCCTGCATTTTGAGCGAAAAAAGGGGGGTCCTGGGAACCCATACGGGGCACGCGCCTGAGTGGTGTTAGTGGACAGTATAGTGTTACCCTCTAGCAGTGTTGTTTTCTATAATAATGCCACAGTAAAACCTTTGACTAACGACCACCCCTTGGGGCCAGAGAAGGCGGTCCTTTACTGGCAGGTCACAGTGGTCCTTGGTTCGAGGTTTGCACCGCACAACCATAAATGTGAGACCATCCGTGCCTGGCAAAGTGGTCTGTAGTAGCAGGCTGGTCGCTAGTCACGGTGGTCTTTAGTTACAGGTTCTACTGTACATGTACAGCGTATTTGCAATTGTAAACTCAATTTGGTCAGAAATGTCATAAAGTATGCCTCTTGTGCCTGCCGGCTTATTGTGTATTATTCTGCCTTCATTCTGCTGCTCGAAAGCCAAGGATCATGCTGATCGTACTATTGTACTATTTTTGAAATGTCCTCGTATGTCGGTGCTTTGCCTTCTGTTTGTGATCCTGTAGGGAATAGTCGTAACAGCTTTCTTGTTCTTCAAGGCTTGGCCAATGTCACCCATGAGTTGTCTAACCGCTCGTATCCTTTCTATGAGTTCAAGCTGGATCAGGTGAGGCACAAACAACTCTGCAAAATCAGTGCAAATGCTAACTACCTAAGAGTCAATGTCTGTCACGACCAAATATCACCCGATTTTTGGGGAATGGAGAGTATCTGGACCAAACTGTCCTAGTGGGCGAACAAGGTCCGCTCAGGGATAAAAGGAGGCAACTTTGAGCGAAATCGGAAATTTGGTGATATTTGCTCATTACAGCCTGACTCTTGGTAATGCTGTTCATTTATTTAATGAAAAGCACAAACCTTCAGACATGTGATTATGCACATACAGTGTACATGCGTCTGTATAAAGAAGGCAGTACAAACGACAGTGTTTTGCACACTATCAATCAAACGCTATGTGTTTAAACCGAGGTCTCTATGCCGTTGCATATCCTCACAGAGTACTGGCAGTAGTGGTGATGTACCTACACAAGGACGATGGCATCAACTGGAAGCGTATAACGTGACTCACCAGAAGATTGGACTGCCGGACACGTCCAATCACATCTACTTTGATCCGATGTACGACTGCTTGTTCAACGTGCGTATACAACCGACAGTGGATGTGTTGTCCAGTGTAATGTCAAGATTCTGCTTCACCTCCTCAGCACCCACTGTAAGTAAAGACATCCGACCTGTGAGACCTGTGAGCCGAAAGCAGCGCCAAGGCTTGTGCGGCCCCTGTGGACCTCCTGTGGGTTTTGTGCCGAAAATCTGATGTCACTGAAATGGAATGGCGGCGCTATTATACAATGTACTCTCGGCTCGGATGTTTTGGACCTTGCATGTTACCAAGTTTGCTCTTTAATAAATCCTTATACCCCAACTGCACATGCTGTGTGTTATCTCTGTCGTGATTTTGCAGAAGTGAATGTTTCGATCCCTACCCGAACTGGAGCATTGTTCTGTTGGAAAGCAGGATAGAGTTTCGGTTCAGAATTCCGAATATCCAGTTCTAGACTGCGAAGAGAGCAGTACATACTATGCACCATGCTGTTGATGTTGAGGGTGATCAGTGTTGCAGCTTGCATGGTCTGGTTCCTGCGATGTCCTCTCTCACAGGGTATAATGATTGTGCAACATCTCATTCACTGGTTTGAGGGAACGATGCAAACGGGAAAGTCTGAAGAAAAAATTGACTGTCACCACCAGGACTCGAACCAGGGACCCTCGCTTGCTAAGGATTGTGCAATGATTGTGCAATATTGTATTTCTGACTACTCTGTCACACTGCAGTTTCCATCGGAAGGATCTTGGCAGCCAGTGTTGTCTGAACCCGTCAGAACGCTAGAGAAACCGTTTCCGCTCACTTTGTCACATCAGACAGCAACGTTTACTGAAGATGAAGTGCTCCTGTTTGGTGGTGTTGTGGAGACGTTTACCGGACTGGAGTCCGAAAATCTATGGTCTCTTGGCATTAGTAAGTCGGTGTGTCTGTGTGTGTGTCTGTGTGTGTGTGTGTGTGTGTGTGTGTGTGTGTGTGTGTCTGTGTGTCTGTGTGTCTGTGTGTATGTGTGTGTGTGTGTGTGTGTGTGTGTGTGTGTGTGTGTGTATGTGTGTGTGTCTGTGTCTGTGTGTGTTCATGAATATGCGCATTGGTGTAAATACACGTGACATGTGGAGGAGGGTCAGAGACAGAGTGACGGATTATGAATGGTCTATAATCCTCGGACACCCTCGGCAACTTTCGAGCACCTTCGATTTATGTCCAAGCCTGGGCTAAATCATTTGTAGCTTTGGTACCCGACCGATCCGACTGCTCAACCCGACCATCTCTGTCGTACTTATCAGTCTTAAGTAGTAGATATAATATAGAAACTCTCCACTTTTACGGCGGAGTAAATTGATGAGTCAATGACTGGACCAATGAGGAAGTTTAAACCCCAATCTGAGAAATCCGCAAAAATCCTATACATTCTCCCAAAGCCGCAGCTAGTTGGTTTGATTGTTGTGCTATTGTGCTCCCTACAGATGACTCACTATCTAACAGCTGTGACAGTGATGATCGTCCCACTAGTGGTGTGTGTACACTTAACGTAAGTGCCTACATCACAACCGGCTGGGCCGAGGTGACCACGGCCAGAGCCAGCCCAGAACCGCGCGCCTTCTCCGCCTCGGTAACCATCGCGAACATTGTCTACATCCTCGGCGGACAGCCAATCTCGCTACAGGCCAACGCATCCACTCTCAGTGTCCAGGATAACATCCAGCGCAACCTTATTTGGAGCTACGAGCCGACTCGGCAACTCTGGGAGCCGGTAGCCCTTGACAACCCGGACAACAATGAAGAGTTTAATAAGGTTGTCTCGAAAACTACGTACGTGATCGATCTTTCTGCGGTGGCCGTGCATACACCGTCGGTGAGCCCTGAGCTGGAGGAACGCTACGGTTCGCAATACATTGTCATCTTCTTCGGAGGGTTTGTGCGCACAGACTCCGTCGACTGTCGACTAGGGCAGCTCCTGAACTCGGTTGTCATCATATCTGCTCCGCATGCCTCCGTGTGGTCATTGAGGTATTTCCACCTGGAGGCGACAACATCCGAGGACAACAGTACATGGCCCACCCCTCGACGAGGCCATACAGCAACTCTGCACAATGCCACTATGTATATCTTCGGAGGTGCGGTGGACCAACCCATGTTCAACGTAACCAACGAGCTGTGGGCATACGATGTGGTGGCAATGACCTGGGAACGGATACGAGGTGATAATGCGGCCTCTCCCACCGCTCGGTTTGGTCATACGGCACAGCACGCTCTCGGAGTGATCTACATGTTCGGTGGTGCGGACGCCAGCGGGGTCATCGCTCAAGACGAAGCATTCTGGGCGTTCAACATAGCATCTCGCGTCTGGATCAACCTGAGCAGACGCATCAAGCCCGGATCTAGCACTCCGTTTCAGCGTTTCTTTCACTCGTCGGCACTCATTGGTCAATCTAAGTTTGCCATTGCAGGCGGCTGTATAGAGAGGATTGAACACTTTGGTACGAGCGCTGGATGTATCTTTTGTCGAAGTCGCCTTGTTCTTGATGATAGTACTTGGGTGTATGATGCTAGATCCCCCGCTGAGTGGCAGCCCATTGTAGGTAAGCATTCTTTTTCTCTTGCTGTGTGTGTGCGTGTGTCTGTGTGCGCGTGTGTCTGTGTGTTCGTGTGCATATGTGTGTTTGTGTGTGTGTGTGTAACAGTTATGTGCATGCATGCTTGTGTACGTGTTTGCCCTCTGTCTATCTGTCTGTCCTTCTGTCCTTTTGTCTTTCTCTGTCTTTCTGTCTCTCTCTCTCTGCCTCTGTCTCTTTCTGTGTCCGTCGCTCTCTCTCTCTCTGTCTCCGTCGCTCTCTCTCTGTCTCTGTCTCTCGCTGTCTCGCTGTTTCTCTCCGTCTCTCTGTCTCTGTCTGTCTCTCTCTCCTCTCCCTCTTCCTTTCTCTCTTTCTCTCCTCTCCCCAGTCACTTACCGAATTTTAACCTGAAGTAATCTTCAGAGTAACAGATCCCATCTCCCGCAATGAATGCTTCCATGAACATTCCCAGTCCGTACACTGGAGTGTATTTGTAAGATCCCAGGGCTGCATTTGAGCCATGCTGTCTGACAATATGATACATTACATGCTTTTCAGGCACTTACTGTCCGTCTACAAATATTCGACGCGTTTAAATTAATTTCGGCCCCCTCCCAGGGACACCGTTCGGCCGCTTTAAAAATGTCAGCCTGTACTTCTGCAGCCTGTACACCCTGTACACCCTGTACACCCTGTACACCCTGTACACCCTGTACACCCTGTCACACTGAATGTCGCAAAATACAATTTCAGCCGCAACAAATTTTCGAGCACAATGCCCAGGCCGAAAAAAGCTGAAAATAAATATGGGCCGAGTATTGTTGACTTAGAGTAGCTGGCCCCTTCTTGCCTTCTCTTCCACTCCGTATGTGCTGAAGGTGATGACTTGATCTCGCGTCGCACGGCATCGAGTACGGTCATTGGTACGGCCAGAGCTATGCATACTCTCTCAGGTGTCACCACTCGGAACGGTACAAGTCTGGTGAGTTCATGCATAGACGCCAGCACTGTGCATATTGTGGGAGTGTGGCAATCGAGTGCACTCATAGATATGCATTGATTTGACAACTAGTCACACTCACACATCAGTGCTGTTATACGGTATTACCCAGTGTCGTACTATTACTAGCATCGTAGAGACAGTGTAGCCAGTTCCATTGTGTTGTCCACTCGGAGTGTGGTCATACAGGGGCGTTGAAAGGCATTTTAGTGTGGTACGGTCAGCCATCTGAAGTACAATTTACTTGTGGGGAGGGGTTGCTGAGCCGAAAAGTTTGGAATTTAGAGCTCAGATCAGTTTATTTTATTGATTCACGGGGTACCTGGGGAAAAATGTGGTACGGTCCATACCGTAGTGACCGTTACATTGTCGGCGCCCCTGTTGTGCATGCGTAACCAGCTGCCACTGTCGTGCATGCTAAACCAGCTGCTACACTGACCCTGCAGCATCACAAGCTACTGGTATCAGCCAGGATAGATCACTGGTATTATCCAGGGTAGATCACTGGTATTATCCAGGGTAGATCACTGGTATTAGCCAGGGTAGATCACTGGTATTAGCCAGGGTAGATCACTGGCATCATCACATGTCACTGATATCATGCCTTATGACTGGTATCATCACAGATCCGTGCCTTTATCACAGATCACTGGCTTTATCACAGATCACTGGCTTTATCACAGATCACGGGCTTCATCACAGACCACTGGTATTATCACAGATCACTGGCTTTATCACAGATCAGAATTTAAAGTTCCTAGAGGCAGAGGCGGCGTAGCAGAAACGCTAAGTTCTACATTCACCAGCTGTATCACATTATTGCCTGGTGTTCTATTTCCAAGGCAGGTCTAGGGATGCTGCCATCATACATCATGCCTCCTGCATGCCCCTGTCGCCAGTAACATATGTGTTCTCTTCTCTCTTGTGTTTTCTTTTGTCTTGTCAGTTGGTGCTGTTTGGTGGGTTCTCCAAATGTCTGAGTGCTGTGCTGGATGTCTCTACCCTGGTCATGGATCCGGCGTGCAACCGGGGATACTACGCCGCTAACTTCACGTCTGATGTGAGCACTGTGTGTGATGTGTGCATACATGTACTACATAGCACTGTGTGTGGTGTGTGCATACGTGTACTACGTGCTTGCTCTTTCGTGACCTGTGTGTACGTTGTGTGAGAAGGGAAAAGTCTGAAGTCTCGCGGCGTGGCCCACGTGACCAGTATTGGCAGTGAGTAAGTACAAGCGTATATTATGGGTGCGTGTGTGGGTATCACTGTATGCATGTAGTTTAGCTACACTTTCAGATAACTTCCTTCGCTAGTATTCTGTTCCAAACCTCTTCTGTTCTCTATGGCGTTTTGGTCTCATTGCAGAGATGTCTGGCATGCGATAACACTAGCTACTCATCGTACGCTGGACGTCCTTTTTGCGATCAATGTCCGTCGGAGACTAAAACTGCGGCGGTTGGCTCAACGGCCATCTCGGCATGCAGCCTGTGTCTATCGGACAGCTTCTGCAATAACCGCGGCGTTTGTGAAGTCAAGAAAGCACGAGGTGTGTACACGCCAACATGCACAAGCTGCAATGACTTTGGTTACGTTCCGTCCGATGAGTGCAAGTCACCCATCTACGCGTTCATCATCGTCGGATCTATACTGGGTGTTCTTGCGGTCCTGGCCATTGTGCTGGTGGCCATCAATGTGCGCAGGTGAGTCCACACACACACACACACACACACACCTGTCCTGTCCTGTCCTGTAGAGCCACTGCCACAGGGGTCACGTGGGCCCCGGAGGGGCATCAAAGAGGAAGATGGAGCACGCAGCCTGATGGCGCCGGAGATGGTGGAGCAAACGGAACCGGCGAGAACACACGCATACATAACTGAACGAATTACGCTGCTGGGCAGTCGGGCGCGGGCCAGTCCTCGAGCACCGGTGACGACTGCGGCCTTGCACAGTCCGAAAGCAGCGGGCACACACAGCACAGTGCGCAGCACAGCAGGCATCCTGCACATAGACTTGCCGGGGCTCGGGAGGCTGAGGTGCGGAACAGCGGTGAACAGCTAGACCACCCTTGCGAAATCAACGCCCACAATCTCCACAGTGGCAAGCCCCTCGCTGCTCAGCAATCGGCTTTGCCCGCTCAACCACACATTTGTGGCGAGCACGATCTCCAGGGCGCGAGAATGACCGATTGCAATCCGCACATACCACTGGGTCAGGCCGAGGCACATTCTCCACAGGCTCGGCGTACATAGCCCGCCAGTCAGCGCGGGACTCACAGGCAATAGGGTACCACACACACACGCACACGCACACACACACACACACACACACATCCACATCCACACGCACACCACACGCACCACGCACGCACGCACACACACACACACACTTTGTGTAGCTGGGGGATCATGTATACATAGCCTACTCTTGGCCATGCTACGCACTATTACGCACTATTACGCACTATTGCACCAAAACAGAGCAGCGCATAGTTTGTATACACAAGTTTTGTTTTCAAACAATCTACGATAAACAAAGAGGATGCTGGGAAAACAATTGGTCCATTTGAATGTATGTAAGGTGACCTGGTGGGTTACGCTCGGCTTAAGTGCGGTGTTCTGAAGGGGTCATGTAAGAGCCGTTTCTATGCGTAACATACAGGTGATGACTTCTAGGGTCCCTCTGCTATTCAATACAATACAGCAGTGATGACCTGTGTCTGCCTTGCAGCCTAGGCCATTCCTGTTTTCATGTAAGAGTACAGCAGTCTATGTGCAGTAGAGTCACCCCGGTGTTTATACCGGCATGGTGTCCTTGGTGAAGTTCTGACCTGTTTCTTCTTCTTGGGCGCTTTGCTCTTCAGCGCCCGACAGTACTATATCAGTATAATGTTACTGTTATTATGTTACACTCAGTATGGCATCATTCCTCTATTTGTCATCACTCTCTGTATTTGTCATCACTCTCTGTATATGTCATCACTCTCTGTATATGGCTTTTTTGGTTCACAACTTCACCATATGATGCCATAATTTGGAGTCATACAGAGAAAGTCTCAACCTGAGTGGAGATATAATTATTACAGGGAAAATCGCGTCTGGAGTTATATACTATAGAGAATGACCTGGAGTTATATAGAGAATGACCTGGAGTTATTATAGAGAAAGTCGCAGTGAAGCCATATAGGCACGAAGTAAACAGGTGATGACGTATAGAGGAGTGAACACATAATTATAGAGAGCTGGTGAACTACTGAGTGCTACATATATTTCACATCTACTTCACCCGTATAAATAAGCCAAGCCAGCTTGATCATCCATGTTTGGCAGGACTAAGTGGAGTCTAATTCAACGGATGAGATAAGTACTATGTTTGTTGAGTACTATTTATACACAGCATAGGTAGAGCTAGCTAGAGTGATCTCTACTGATGAGCTAATGTCTTGTTTCTCAACCTCCATTGTTCAGGATTGTTCAAGCACGTCATGAGAACGAGCGCCTGTTGAGAAACTCCCGGCGTGAAATCAGCGAAATGACGGATGCCTGGAAAATAGACTCGACTGAGATCGTGCTGAAGTCACGCATTGACTTGGACTGCCCCGGCGGCTTTGGAGAAGTGTGGCTGGCTGACTACCGAGACATGAAGGTGGCGGTGAAAACGATATCCGCCGGGCAGCTCATGCTAAACCCCACGGCTCTGGAGGACATGAAACAGGAGATGCTCCTGATGAGGACCTTACGTCATCCCAACATTGTCCTCTTCTTGGGAGGTGGGGAGCTACCCAGCAACCAGGTATGTGTGTATGTGTTTTAGAATTTTTTTAGAAAACAATCCTGCTCAATGAAATCCAGGCATGCCTTGCATCATTTCTCAGCCCAGCGTCTGCAGGTCTGGGGCTGTGCAACGGCCGGCGCGTACTTCGGCGACGGGACTGGATTTCATTGAGCAACACTGTACTGTGGGTGTTCAATTGCCAGATGGCGGTACCGACATGTCTCATCCATACAAGACGGGTTGAGCACCCACCAGATCTCCTTGTGGAAGGTATTACATGTAATTCCTGAAACACTACCAAAGCCAGGCTTTTGGTGATTCGGCATGACCTGAAGGCAGCAGATCTCTCCGTGTGTTGTTGTTGTTGTTGTTGGTGTTGCTGCTGCTGCTGCTATTGTTGTGTGTGTGCACGGTGAATCCCTTTGAAAAATAGGGATTCACTGGCCGAAAAAAATCACTTCAATCAGCAGTGCGGTGTAGGCCAGGCTAACATTAGTAGCGGTCAATTCATCAGCCTTGCAAGCTGTTGAATGGTGTAATCCCAGCACAAGTTGCTATGTCTAACATAGTGTATTTGCTATCATTGCTTCAGCGATTGGCATGTTTAAGTGTAAGTTAAAGTGTTTGTATGGTTATTGTGAACACACACACACCACACACACACATACAGGGTGCATTCATCGTGATGGAGTACATGAGCAGAGGAACACTGACGGACACGCTGCGCGACCAACGGGTGCACATTGACAGAGAGCAGGCGCTACGCTTTGCCATGGACATTGCCAAGGGCATGCGGTTCATCCACAGCCTGACCCCGCCACGACTACACCGGGACCTGAAGAGTGCTAACTGTTTAGTCAGTGAGAAGTGGATAGTGAAGGTATGCTCTTCTGCCGTGTGTGTGTGTGTGTGTGTGTGTGTGTGTGTGTGTGTGTGTGTGTGTGTGTGTGTGTGTGTGTGTGTGTGTGTGTGTGTGTGTGCCATATGACAAGTAACCATTACCGTAATTTCGGTCGCCTAAGAACTGGGAGGTCAGCGTCCTAGCCTAGACCGTTTTTATTTTCATGTATTACAGTCTAAGCACAGTTGGGTCACCGCGTATACATTGGTATACAGTGCTGGTGAAATTCTAGCCTGGTCGTTCCACGGCGCTCCGTTCTACGGCGCTCCGTTCTACGACACCTGACAGTTCTCTAAGCAGTGATGTAGCGTGCGAGCATTCTGCATGTCTGTTGTGAAAGGTGGCGTGGCTATGTCTGCATAACGACAGTGATGCTGCTGTGTGAAAAGCATGCTGATGTACTTGTTCACGCGTGTGCAGATCTCTGATTTCGGCGCATCGAAATTACTGAAGGCTGCTGATATGAATCGCGATGCAGTCTTATCGTTCCGCAAAGGCTCTAGCAGGGATGATGAAGACGAAAGCTTTGTCGAGGTATGTGGATACGTGGATATGCCTAGTGTCCCTGAAGATACGTTTCCGGTATCCAGTGATATGCTTGGAGGTGCAATACATCCAGGCGTGGTTTTTAGACGGAACCCATTTATGTGTTGCTGGTGTGTTCTATATCTGATCTTGTCACCATTCTGTATCTTTGGTCCTGTCTGAGCATTGTCCACTCTTTCGTAACGGATGAAGCACTTCCACCAAGAGAAAGCCCAAAGTAATGTGAAAGTATTGATGGGGGTGAGACAAGACACTGTTCTGGAACCAAATCTTTGCTACTGCAGTGTATGTTTGTGACATGAGCACGCATTTCATTTTTCCTTGCCTTTCGCTTTCGTGAGAAATCACACCTTGATATTTTAGTGCTGTCATTGTGTCCTCCTTACCTTGCCTTGCTTGCTATATTATTTCATTTGCTCTGAATTGATCTTTAGTACACCGTTGATTCCTGATGAGTGTTGCACGAAAACTAGTTAGCTTATTTCCACCACTTTTTCTTCTTACATGTACTTTTCCTTACCTTTTGTTTTCGCATCGTCTCCATTGCTTGGCATTGTAATCCAATGTCACTTCAGCTCGTCCTCCTTGTTGCGATATAATAATTGTTGTGTCCTCGCCGAATATTTAAATGTTTTTGTTTTGTTTTCTTTTTCTTTTTCTTCAACGGTGTCTGGATGGTGTGTGCATGGTGTGCGTGCATGTGTGTGTGTGTGTGTGTGTGTGTGTGTGTGTGTGTGTGTGTGCATGCGTGCGTGTTGTAGTTACTGCCTGATGGTCAGAGTGACCGTCACTTCACCTTGCAATCACCTTTGCTGGGGACGAAGCAATGGGATATGACGACACAGGTTAGTTAAACAATGCTGCTGTGGATACTTCCAATCTCAATTTACACAAGTTGTTCTTTAAACAAGGCAGAACAACAGAGACCAAAAATCGTTACTCAGAGTTTCGTGTTCAAAAATACTCATCAGATTATTTTTAACAATCACTGCGTCATTAGAATGCTACTGGTGGCGGCCGTGTTGCTGCTGCTGTTGTCATCATTCTTGTGTTCTTGTCATCATTTCCATTCCCATTGGGAGGAGTGCCAACAGTGGTGGAGGAGGTGGAGGAGGTGTATTTTGGCGGCGGCTCAATAAGCAGCAGGTCTTGCCCATTGCACACTCGGTGGTGCTAAGTAGCCGAAGGGAAGAATGGCCGAAGAAATAGGAAGAAGCTGGCAGGGATGTAGCACAATGCAAACTACTGACGCGCAACGAACAGCGTTCATTTCATACTCGGACCCCCCCCCCCCCCCCCACGCACGCCCATCAAATTAACGCAGTTCACTGACGAAGTAAATCGGATGCATGTACACACACATGTACTGTGTCGGGCTCGCACCCCTTCTCTCCCCCCCCCCCCCCCCCCAACCTCATAATAATGCTCGTTTTAGGGACAACATTAATTTTTTTCGACGACCCCTTACTTTAATAGGGACTGGCAACTGGCTTTGACCTGAGTGTCATGCCGGTCTTGTGTTAGAGCAAGAGCCGAATGAGTTGGGTGACATCAATCTGTTATTTGCCACTGTAGATCGGGACTCTGCTGTGGAGAGCGCCCGAGATGTGGAGAAATGAACCGTACGGAACGCCGTCAGATGTTTACAGGTTGGTTTCTGTGTGTGTGTGTGCATGCGTGCGTGTGCTTGCATGTATGCGCGTGCATGTGCGCGCGTGTGTGTGTGTGTGTGTGGGGGTGTGCGTGTGTGTGTGAAGGATGCTGCATGGCACCGGTCTTGTTTAATATCTACATGTGGGCCATGGTCCAGCAATGGTACAAGGCAATTGCAGACATTCCGGATATCAGGCTTCCTGTGGCGACAAATGCTGGTGGTCGGCTACTATTCCACATGTCATGCACAGATGTTGTGAAACGGCACGGCTGCCATTTTGCAGACGACTCTGCACTGGTTGCTACCCACATGAGGGTGCGCAACAAGCCCTGGCTGCATGTGTGCATGTTTGCGCAATTGTCTGAGTGACGCATGCAATCTTCCTGTGCTTGACACTTTCTCTACAGCTTTGGGGTAGTCATGTGGGAGATCTTCACACGCGCCCAGCCCTACGAGGACAGGTCGTTCCGTAACAAGTTTGAAATTGAGGCATTGGTGCTGGCAGTAAGTTACTTCCGTCCGTCTGTGCTTGTGTATCGCCTCGTGTGTCCCTGTGCTGCCTTGTCTGTCCCTGTGCTGCCTCGTCTGTCCCTGTGCTGCCTCGTCTGTCTCTGTGCTGTCTCGTTTGTGCTTGTTCTGCCGCGCTGTGCCAGTGTGCTGGTGTGCCTGTACCTGTCTCGGCAGCACTGAACTCTCCCTTAGTATTCTCCATCAGTCTCTCCTGGTTGAGTGTTCAGATCTGCAGAATGTTTTAGTATGTTCTTCTGCTTTTTGCCTAGAGTAGATTTTAGAACGATTGTCCAGAAGCTATAGGTTAACAAGAATTGTAACGAAGAAATGACCCACGTTGAAACGTTAGATTAACATCCTGGTCACCGTATAATGATTACAAGTCTACCAGTGCGTATGCATGGTATAGTACATCGGTCAATGCCCAGCATGGCCTCCCCACTGCGGCCACCTTTCAAAATCCCTTCACCAGTTTAGACATGGGTTGTCATAGGGTGATGGAATGATAGCTTACAGGGGGCGTCGGACACACTACGATCACTACGGTATTGACCATACCACTATTGGTCCCGAGCATGATCTACCCTGTGAATCAGTAAAAGACACTGGTTTGGGCTCTAAATTTCGAAAGTTGTCAGAGGAGCTATCTCAACCGCGTGAGTAAATTGTACAGTTCAGATGGCCGACAGTACCATCCTAAAATACCTTCCGACGTTGCCCCTGACTAAGAACTGAGTTGAGTAAAGATGATAATCACCTTTGTTTTGCCCTGTGTACTCAGGGTACAAGACCGACCATACGCAATGACTTCCCGGATCTGTATCGGGTATTGATGGAGTCTTGCTGGCACGATCAGCCTGATGAGAGGCCCCCGTTTGACGACATCGTACGTAGCCTGGAGAAGCAGCTGGAGACGGCGCGCATCCCTACCATGTCCGTTGAGATCGACAGGTCCGACGCAAGCCACCGCAAGATAGTCCGCAAGCGTGTCCTGATGTAGCCTGAACGTTGAGAGCAAGTAAGATGTCCGGATATGTACCCCAGGCCCACTAAGGCCAACACGCGACGCGTGCTTAGGCCAACTCAGGCCCACAAAACCTAACCCGGGCTCGCCCACTAAGGCCAACTCTGGACCACTACATTGTAAGGCTCACTCGGTTCCGCTAAGGCCAACTCACTCCCACTAATACTACTAAACTGTAATTGCTGACTTGGGAACCATAACAAGCAACAAGTAATGCTCGTTTGTGTTGTTTGCGATCACCGAGCAGCTGCAGCTGTAAGAACATGCCCGGTTTCTTCGATAAGCCTCATGTTTGACTATTCTGCTAGAGGGTTAGCTGGCTACCCAGTAACGCTTCCAGTCATGCCCTGCAACACTGCAATTCACTTGAATGCACCTATAATAGATCATACTCTCAGATATTAGAATGTTGATTTTATCCAATAGCACAAGACCAGTAACGATGCATGGTACCAGTGAGGTGGACATTATTGTCTCGTCCTCGCCGATACAAATCCAGTAGCACAAACAGCTAGCGTAGAGCAGCAAGACGACTACATGCAGTGCCTGGACATTTGTTTAAATTAAAAAATTGGTTTTACGGCTTTTATCAAAGGAAATGCTGTCGTGGAAGCGACTAATTTGGCTGCCAATCAAACAGCGCCCGTTATGTACACGATATTGGCCCGTCCGTTGCCGAAGCGAATTACAGGGTATGCTAGAAATGTGTTGATGCTATTTCGATCTAATCCATGCCATGTTTTTCTTCTCATTTCACAAGAACAATTTTATTTATGAAAATGAGTACATTTTCATCAGTATAAAAATAACTTCGTATTCGTAGTGTAAATTCTTGATGTAGAATTGCTTTTTGGTAAGTTCAGGATTTCTAGGTATCATTTATTTTATTTGCATAATATTATGCTTTGACATGATTCTTTGAAATACAACAATGCCCCCCTCTCTCTCTAACTATAAAACTTACTGACACATGACAGCATCAGTTAATTGATTACTTTGAAGTATATTCTTTGAACTAGGAATGTCATGCATGGCAACTAGTCATAAGTCATTTTCAACGAAACTCGATCTGTGCAAGTCAGCTAGCACCACGACCTGTGAATACTGGGCAGCACGCACTCACCCCTATCCACAACCTGGCTGGGTAGGGGGGGGGGGGGGGGATACGGGGCTTCAGGACCCACCAGCATGGATGGGGCATGGTAGGGCACGGGGACCCGTACAGGGCAGTAGGACCCACCAGCATGGATGGGGCTAAGTGGTGGGGCAGGGGAGGGAGAGGGTACAGGGCAGCAGGACCCACCGGTATATGGGGCTGGTTGGGGTACGGGGGTGGGTACAGGGCACTCCTTATGCAGTCCATATAAAGGCAGGGGTACCGGGCACTCCCCTGTCCCCGGGGAAAATCGCGGAAAAAATCGCAAAAACGCGGGGGAAAAACGCGGCACAATATGGCATAATTTGCGGTAAATATGCGGTGATTATTATTGATATGCGGCAAGTTTGCAGTTGATATGAGGCAATTTTCAGTGAGTATATAGTGAAATCAATCAGTTACAAGTCTCTGGTGTAAGCACTCGTCATATTTGAGACGTTGCTGACCGAACAGTGCACTGTGTGTACGTGTAGTGCAACAAAAGAGTTCAAAAAACACGGGAAAATCGCGGAAAACGCGGTCTTTAAAAAATTTTTAAAAAATCGCAAAAAGCGGGGAAAAACGCGGCCGCGGAATCGCGATTTTCCCCGGGGACAGACTCCCTATCCCCGTACAGGGCAGCAGGACCCACCGGCATGGGGCTGGGTGGGGCATAGAGGTACAGGCAGGGCGCTCCCTATGCAGCTCATACAGCTACAGGCAGGGCCTGCCAACAACGGGTGAGGAGGGGTGTACAGGGCACTCCCTATCCCAGCCCTGCAGGACCTGCCAGCATGGGGCAGGGTGGGTAGAGTGTTCCGGGCTGCGTGGGGCACTACTGGCTATGCAGCCCCTGCCAGTATGAGGCTGGGTGGGGTGAAATGATCACAGGGCTGGGTGGGATGAAATGATCACAGGGCTGGGTGGGGTGAAAGGATCACAGGGCTGGGTGGGATGTGAAATGATCACAGGGCTGGGTGGGATGTGAAATGATCACAGGGCTGGGTGGGATGAAATGATCACAGGGCTGGGTGGGATGAAATGATCACAGAGCTGGGTGGGATGTGAAATGATCACAGGGCTGGGTGGGGTGTGAAAGGATCACAGGGCTGGGTGGGATGTGAAATGATCACAGGGCTGGGTGGGATGAAATGATCACAGGGCTGGGTGGGGTAAAAGGATCACAGGGCTGGGTGGGATGTGAAATGATCACAGGGCTGGGTGGGATGTGAAATGATCACAGGGCTGGGTGGGATGAAATGATCACAGGGCTGGGTGGGAGGTGAAAGGATCACAGGGCTGGGTGGGGTGAAGGGCACCACTCACTACGTAGCAGCAGACCGGCCAGGTTGCCAAACACAGGCACTGTATAAGGCATTAAGGGTGCGGAACACTGAGTAGCAGCAACAGCAACAGCAGCACTGTCAGACATTGTGAACGATGCCAACCCTCTCCAATCTCCTCTGACAATAACACTCTACCCGTACACCTGGTACACGTGCCTACAAGGCAAGGGCAAGGGTAGAAGATTAGGGCAAAGGGGTGGGATCGGGGCAGAAACCTCACCCTCTACATGCACCCAATGCTCTATCCTAGCTGCCTAACCCTCCGCTCTAACCCTGACACATAGTTTACCCGTGTGAAGAAAACAACAAGAAGAAAAAGATCAAGAGGTGCGATGAGGCATTTTACACCCAAGCAGTGTGGCTCTGTTTCACAGGCATGCCACGGTGGCTTTGATACGGGCATGCCACGGTGGCTTTGTTACGGGCATGCCACTGTGGCTTTGTTACGGGCATGCCACGGTGGCTTTGTTACAGGCATGCATGCATGCACGTGCCATGCACAGGACTTGTGTACTTCGGTGCCATGCACATGAGCATACATGCCCAAACCAAATTCCCTTTAGGCGAAATTTCACCTCCAAAATCCGACTAGAACCACTTCAAAACTGGCACCCAAGTACTAATTTTGATACAAACCGCAGATAAAAGAATCCTTTGTTGGTCATTATCCGTAGCGTGCTGAAATGGATTATACTCACGTTTTGCACCTTTTAACTTTTCATGCACATGTACCGTATAGGCGCGAATAGGAGCCCCGGGGCTCTATTTTCCAGAAAACACATTGAGGGGGGGGGGGGGGGTTATATTTGAGTGAGGGCTTTATTCGAGAGGGGGATTTATTTTTATTTTTTAATAAAGCCAAATAGAAACATCAATTGCTTCACCCAATTCCTGCTGATCAGTACATATACACAGAAGCCTTGCTTGGTAGTTTAACATGTTTTTAGATTTTGACAGCAGCGTCCTCACCTTGTAACATGCTGTCAAAATGATCAGTACATGTAGTGACTGCAATTGGTTTGTTGTATGGTACTTGAAGTAGGTACATGTACAATAAGTACACCCTGTTGCACTTGCATACCGTACACGGTTCATGTACTGCACTGCATAGTATGGACGTTGCGTGCTCGATTATAGGCCCGGGCTTTTATACGAGACGGGGCTTTATTATTTCGATTCCCTCTGACACACGGGCTCTATTGGAGAGGGGGCTCTATTCGAAGGGGGGCTTGTATTCGAGCGCGTTCGGCAATTGCCTATGAATAATTTTACGACGCTTGCAAAGGGTGGCCACACACTAAATGTATGTTTCCTGACACTAGTTCGTACAGGATCAAATAGGGATTCGTCCACCACGGGTTCAGGACGTGTTTCTTAATTAATACGTGCATTGCACCATAAAATGATGCCTGCTGGCTGTCGGGACAGCACTGATAATGGAGTTGCCCCCTCTTGGACGCTATGATTGTACCTTCTTGATGACACCCAGGGAGTCGTACACAAACAGGTTTGGGTATGGCTCCCTGCTGAAAAGCCAGCTCACAAACACTGAATACCCAAGCACATCATGTATGCAATTGTGCAGAGACAGTCACGTGATCTCAAGCACACAACATGGGCAGAGGCAGTCACGTGACTCCATCTCAAGCACACAATATGTGCAGAGGCAGTCACGTGACTCCATCTCAAGCACACACCATGCACAGAGGCAGTCACGTGACTCCATCTCAAGCACACACCATGTTCCAGTCATGTTCGTCACTGCATAGCAATACGACCACATCTTTCGTATAGATTGAGTATCAGAGCTAAAGGGGATCATTCAAAAAGGTACATTTTCATTTGAGCATTGAATAAAAAACAGTGCCGCAGTGCATGGATTCTTGAGAGCGCGAGTGAAAGCAACTAGTTAAACACACACAGTAGTATGTACAACATGATGGAGTGTGACTGTGCCACACATCACGTGGACATGACTCAACAGCAAGCAAGCAATCACTGCACTTACATGGCAGTGGGCAGTGTGCAGTGTGCTGGGTGCTGTATGGGTGATGTGTGCCGTGTTGCGTGCTGTACACAGTCATACTCTAGTACTGGCGGGATACGTAGAGGCAGCAAATCAATCAAGGTAGTTGTCTAGAACTTGCCAAGACGCTGAGTGCGGGAAGACGATGATTCCTGGAAGCGCTCGGCGAATGATGAGTCTGCACAAATAATGACAACACCAACACAAGACCAGTGAATCCATGATCAGGAGTTGTCCGGGGCTAAAGATTGTGTTTTTTTCTTCTTCAAAATGAACAATAGCATTTTTCAGCCTCCACCCACCCACCCTTTCTGCAGGAAAATCGAATTTCACAATATTATTGTTTCAATCTCCAGCACCCAGAAGCACCTGGGCACTCTCCATGTGCAAAAATTATTTTCAAAACAAAACTCCTAAAACCCACCCATCCCCAAACAAAACTATTCGATTCGGGAAAAACCCATTGATAACCTTGGACGACCCCTTTGGCCATGCCAACTACTTCATAAGTTTATTGAAGAGCATCTCTGCCAATCACATGCTTGAGAGCTGCCTGCCTGTGTTTCAAATATCACCGTGGAGTGACACAAATTCACAGCAGACTGAGCAGACCACCGCCAACTCACGGTTCAATGTGTCATCAAAGCTGATGTCTTCGTCCAAACCGAGAAGAACTTCAAAAGACGCCATCGAGCTTTGCAGCGGACCGAGTCGCTGAAGCTGCACGGAAAGATGAGGACACAGCAGAGCAGTACAGTGCACTTAGTTCACTACAGTACAGTACAATACAGTACAGTACACTACAGTACAGTAAAAAAGGAAAGTTTGCCGGATTCGCGGCCGCATCACCTGACGTGTTGAGTAACACATCAAGCAAAGACATTCATATCGGCGGGCCACCAATTCGTCCGTATATCCTGGGTGTCGAATGCAGACCTCACAAGTGAGTCAGGGGTACAGTAGAGTACAGTAGAGTAAAGTCTGTTCACACTAGAGGATACCAAACACAGACAAGGTGGCACATCTCTGTGACTAGATACATGTGTCCTGTACCGGAGAGGTATACTGATGACAGATTGCCGTAGTGCCTTGTATTAAAGCCTGTCTCATATAGAAGTCTGTATTGAATAGAAGCCTAATTTTCAAGATACTCTGTCGGCACATAAGCCTGGTTTTAGTGTTGACAACTTGACATACATAGAAATACCTGTCTTGCATAGAAGCATGTCGCATGTAGAATCCTGCAAAATTTCCCCCAAAAGTCATATAAGCCGCGGCCTTTATACACGACTTTACGGTACACAAACAATTGCACGAAAACAGTGTTCTTCAACGTGTGTAGTACCATTGGGGCACTCACCTTGGACGTGATGGACCGTTCGACCTTCATACGCATGACAGCATGCTCTCCCTGAGCACTGCGTACGGTCTCTTCTTCTTGTGCCATCTGCGTCTTGAAGAACTACACAGCACACAGAAAAGGAATGGAAAGCAGCAAAAGATCAGTTGCCTTGTCATACTGTACAATCAACCAGAGAAAGTGGATGCCCCATTATCATACTGTCCAATCAACAAGATATCGGTTGCTTCATCATACTGTCAAACCAACAACAAGATATTGGTTGCCTAATCATACTACCGTCCAACCAACCAAGAGAGAAAGTGTAGTGCACGTTCACCTAGACAGCCAGACTTTGTTTGTCCACTTCCACTGCCAGTCGGTAGGGAAAGTGGCCAGATACAGTGCAGCCTACTTCAGTTACTAGTGCCCAACCCAGTGACCTACCAGGCGCGTACCCAGGGAGGGGTCCACAAGGTTTGGACGAACTCCACTTTCTGTCAGCCAACTGAACGATTTTTTCGTCGTTTTGTTGCCCTGCGCTGCGGGTTGTGCTGTGCTGTCAACGAGTCGTCAAGTCGCAGATTCTACGACTACTCGACGTCGTGATGCACTGTGCATGCGCTGAAACACGCGACTCGCGCGAGAGTTGGTTGACGTGACATCAACGTACCCCATGTAACCCGCCTCCCGCCGACCCTACGTACGCGCCTGCCTACCCAGATATTTTCATGAAAGGTGACATCTAGCTGCACTAGAAGGCTAAATCACAACCATGTAGCCATGATTGTAGACACTACCCCTTTGAAACCAACACCTTGGAATAGAGTCTGGAAGGGAGGGGGGGGGGGAGGAGGGAGGGAGGGAGAGAGAGAGAGAGAGAGAGAGAGAGAGAGAGAGAGAGAGAGAGAGAGAGAGAGAGAGAGAGAGAGAGAGAGAGAGAGAGAGAGAGAGAGAGAGAGAGAGAGAGAGAGAGAGAGAGAGAGAGAGAGAGAGAGAGAAAGAGAAAGAGAGAGAGAGAGAGAGAGAGAGAGAGATGGATAAGGACAGGGATGGGATGACACAGTCACACTTACATTCTTCTCTGATGTCTCCAGCGCATGTGCAGGGGGTGGCATACCGTGTGCAGGCCTAAAGCAGTAGATAAACACACACACACACACACACACACACACACACACACACGCACACACACACACACACACACACACACACACATGTCGTGTCCACAGCAAGAAAAAAACCCAAGATAACTACACACACCGGATGCAGACAAATACATCCACAGTACCTATCAATGACTGGTTTAATACATTAGTAACAGTGACTGGCGCCATGTATCGGTTTTCATTACGCTGTGCGTTGATGCTAGACTGCTGGGTCACGTGACTTTCAGCACTGTGAGTGACTGAGTGTACAATCATGTACACAGGTCCTGGGTTCACTTGTACACAGCTGTACTGCACTTTCAAACACTGTACCCCATTCTATGTCCTTCCACACAGAGAATGCCTACACGTGCTCGCGAGTTGGTGAGCGTAGTATCTTCTTTATTTCTCCAGTCCGAAACAACAAGACTCCAGACTCAACTCATGCACAGCAACTAAAAGCCGCGAAGTCCGTTTCACGTGTGTGCGCGCGCGCGCGCGGGAAGCGGCACATGCTAGATGCATAACATGACATTGTACTATTATCACGAATGTCCCGGGTGGCCAAGGAATGCAACAGCGCATATGTAGATGTGGGTACTGCAGTGAGCTGCCTCGAACTCTTGGACGGAAAGTTGACATCGCCCAGAACGTCTCCGTGCATTAATAACCAAAATGTGCCTGCCTGAGATCAGTGTTTCAGAATGTCTACAGGCTTGGACTACTACATGTAATCCACAACACTAAACTACAAATTTCAAAAGTGGTTTGAAATGTTTTCGTGAAAGTACTCCTTGTGCCGGCTGGACTAAATGAGTGAATGCCTGAAACAATCTTAGGGTTTATCAAAGACAATGAACACAGTAGGTTTCCATCTGGCATACAGAGCCTTTTCATCGTCCTTTATTTACGCACGTATTGCAGGCAAATGCGAAGCCCTGCAGCAATGCAATTTCAATTAGCAAGCTGAAATGCCGACAGTACAATACAGCACATTGCCTACCCGTGCCTCATGGCATCAGGGCCACCCATAACACCATCATTAGGTCCAGACAGCTCCTTGGTGTAAGTGGTCTTTGGCAGAACGGTAGCCTACAACACCAGAAAGAAGTCATGGTGTCAATCAAACATTCAAGCCTGGGGTGTTCTCCGTTCAAATATTCTGTACCATTATCGAGATGTGAAGGTTCTCGGCTAGCTAGCAATATGAGTAAGGGCGCAAAGAGCAGACAGCGGCGTGCTTTGACTTCTCTGTTTGCAAGAAACAACCGTAGTTATTAGACTTTCAAAGATTTCAAGAGGAAACAAAACTGCTTTCGTAGTCCTCAAGTACAGTCGTCGCCAAAAAAATCCGGCCAATGCCAAGTATACGCGTACATAGGTATGGTAGGTAGATCTACGCACGCGGTACTTGATCGCGGGTTCATGCACTGGAGTGGCACATGCACTAGACTCTAGCTCTAGACGTCTAGTCTAGCCTCAACTACAAAAATGTAGGCCACTGCCACTGGTATGGACAGCACTGAACAGTCTGCGCCGCACTCTGCCTGCTGCAGTCGGTTTGAGCACTGCATGCAAGCGCCGAGCCTGAGTCTGAGTGAGTGTAGCGACGGTTTCAAATAGGACATACCCGTAGGTTGCAAACCGGAACGGACTCCATATTCACTTTCTCTCTTAGTATTTTGATTAGAAAACATATGTCACAGTGAGACTACGATGTGTTATAACTAACTTATACTCCGAGCCAAAATTTCATGGCTCTGCGATGAACAGAAGCGCCACACCAAGAAGGGGAGTTTTTCACGTGTTGAGTTTGACGACTTTCGAAAAATCAACTTCTTGTCGCAGGTAAACAGCGGTTCGCCTCTCGCCAATAAAGAGCCGCATACCAATCGAAACTAATGGAGAAGCACACACAAGGCTTATTGTTATTCTGTACTGGCCGTCGTGGAGCGATAGCAATTACCTAATTTCAGACTAAGAGTGAATTTGACGTGCACTCTAAAACCTTTCCGGTTTGGAGCCACCTCTGATTTGAAGCGGAAAATTGGGCAACTTGGAGGCAATGGGTCAACACAAAGGAGTGGCTCAGTTCGATTGACTCTGGCCTCAGATCAAACTTCAACATGCCAGTTTCCTTCCACAAACATATTTCGAGTGAACAATCTACGCTGATGATAGGTTTGCATGGTTTGGGCCTATACAAATTTGGCTGACCTGTCAAGCCGTTCCGGTATCCACTGCACGTATCGAACCGTCGCCTCTACATGGTGTACATGGTGTATGCGCCGCTATGCGGGCCTAGCCTGTCAGCATGTGAACAGTGAAGACATAACTGCAGTACATGCAGACCCGGTCTACCAGGGCACTACCACTACATGTACCAAGTATGATACAGTGCATGCGGCCCAGTACAGCTACCGGTAGCTAGCATTGCATTTGGCCGGATTTTTTTGGCGACGACTGTAGTTACTTCTTCAAAAATTTCTTTGGTGTGCATCATCATAATACATATGCATGCATGTGATGATGGGACGCGTAAAAAGACGTTTCCAGAAATCATGCAAAATTCACGCTGGTTACGTCATTGATGATGCATGTGCATGTGTACATCGATAGTACAATAACGACGTAGATCTACGTGCGCAGTGCGTATCTACTCTTGGTATGATGATCATGAATGATGCATGATGGTCAAGAACAAGATTGTAACTTTTTTTGTGTGTGTTGAAATTTTGGCTACAAATAGTATACAATACATACATGCTGTTGAGATTGCTTCCGATTGATTGGGCTTTACTGCTCAAGGTCTCACGTCGAGATGAGAATGCACAGTTTGCAGTTTTCGGTACACCAGCTCCAGGATGGTAGTGTATGTGGATGGGCCACTCTGTGTTGCTGAGTCTCAGGCAAACCCAACCACACAGTCTATGCATCCCAATACCCAACATTGGTACATGCATCCCAATACCCAACATTGGTACATGCAGCACTGCAGAACAGAAACAACTCAGCATCATCAAGTCGACAAGACTCGATGCCACACATACTAGTATCGCGCACGGCACACCAAGCACACCATCGCAAAGTACGTGTTTGATTTACCTGACTTAAACAACAATCACCCGAGTCGACGGCTAAGAATAAGAAACTACTACAAAACTATGGCTACCAAAATAGAGAAAGTCCCCTGTGTGGGACAGGAGGAATAACTAGGAAATATGGACAAACTACAAAAAAAGAGCTTACTTGTAGCTGAGCTGTGACACACAGCAGTAAACATAGGGAGCTCACAACAACGGATAAAAGAAACTGACAAACTACAAAAAAAGACGATAATAATATTAATAAATACTAGATAAAGCGGAGTATCCAGATTATCCAGGCGCTAGGCAGGGCTGGATAACAGAGAGGAAAGGCTAGCAATGACGTGGCGCATCGGGTTTTGTGGCACTGCAAGGCACACACCCAGTCCAAGATGAGTGTTACTAGTCGTTGCAGATAGCATGGTTGCCTTGAGCACCAGCTAGCCGATGATTTCAGTGACATACAGCACTGTCTGGTGAGCAGCTGCCGGTTGGATGGTGGCTGACAGCCGGCAACCCAAGACCGTGCAACAAGGACTACTCCGATCACCTTAAGGTGATAAAGATCAAACTGGCAATGCAGCTGTTCCAATTATCACAGCTGGCGTATTGTGTATGGCAGCGCGGAGTGATGCGCTGAGAGATGAACTTTAATCCAATCATCTGGTAAAGTCTCTGCAAGAACGACTTGCACTTCTTGATAAATACGAGAAAATCTTCCCTTCTGATATAGCTGTGCTGTGTGTGTAGGCTGAACAAGCACTGAGCCTAGAATTGTGACCAGGTCATGTGCTGCTCCGTGTGTCGGGCTTGGGCTTGCGCAGGTCAATTAGCTGATCCTGGCGGTAGTGCAGGCCTGATACACAGACACACAGACACACATAAACACACACCATGTACCAACACACACACACACACACACACACACACACACACACACACACAGCAATACAAACATTTACGTCGGGACAGAAGGGCACAAGAGGTATACACAGCTGTCGTACTACAATTATGCCAGCTGGGAAATCTAGGCAAAGGTGAGAACCATCACTCCATGCACTCGCAATCATGCAAAATGGCAATTTGTTGGCAAGTACAAAAGTTTTCTGAGCGAGTGGCACTAAGGCCGCGGTCACACCGAGCTCGATTCAGCCGTTCAGCCGAAACAAGCGCTTGTTTACGTCACTATTACCATGGAAATGGCTGAAAAATGTCCTACAAGCGACTTTCAGCCGTGGCTGACTCTCAGCCGTTTTTTTCCGGCTTGTTTCAGCCACAGCTTGTACAAGCGGCTGAAAGCCGAAGTTCAAAAAATAATTTGAGTGCGCTTGGAGCTCCGGAGCACACCATGTAGCTAGTTGACATGATGAACTGATATTGATGTTCTTTCTTGTGTCCGTGGAACCGTGCTATCCCTGTGCCTTTGGTTTTGACCGTGAGTCTGTCTACCCCAACTACACTGTATTCAGTTTGATTTGGATTTTGTCCGACGACCATGGATTTCTGCCGCTGTGCCTCTAGACTGCTGCGTAGATTGTTGGAGCTGTGGTTTGAGGCCAAGACAAGGCACCACACTCACGACCGAATTCATGAAGAAAGCCGGGTACGAAGAAGAGAGTGGATTGCAACTGAGTTCAAAAACGGCAACCGGCGGGGCAGAAAGCTCGACATCAGGAAACACCACCCGAACCATCGCGTCCATGCACACCGAACAAATAAAAAGAGCACGACTTCGCAATTCAGAATCCGGGCTTCCTTTGCTTCTTCATCAAAACTGAACTGTGAACACTAGAACAAGTACAGTTTTAGATCGCGAACGTTCTGCTCACGGGCTCCAGTTTCTTGCAAACATTGGTGTGTTTCGAGATATTCAAAATTTGGCGGGTAAGAAAAACAAGCCATTCAAGCTTTGCACTCAAGGTCTGGTGTGACCGCGTCACAGGGATCACGCAAGCCAGCTGAGCGCCAGCGATAACAAGCCCAAAGTGGCTTGTTTCAGTGTGACCGGGGCCTAAGGTACAAGAAGGTGACTCAACAGTTCAATACCATACAGTATACAGTTTTCCACAAACATGACCTGATGCAGATAGAACACATAGGGCTGAATAGCAGAAGCAATACCTGGCATCGCAAGGAGCCATTCAACGTGCTTGTGAAAGCTACACACACGCACATTACACTAGCAGTCAGGTAAGGCAAACGACTTACGGTATGTGCCTTCGGTGTCCGTTTCCGTCAGCTCGTACACTTGCTTGCGGAAGATGTCCTCAGCCATGCCGGCAGCACGGAGCATCTATCCCCCCCACACACACACACAGATCAACAACACGTGATACAGTAAGATAGGGCACCGAAGAAAGCAGGGGCTCAAGGTGCAGCCTAGCATTGTTCTAAAATGCTCAAAAAAATGTTTTTATTCTGCGATCATGGAGAGCACCATACGATTCATGCCATTTTCCAGCCTAAGTGTTCTTTGCCGCCCGATCATACTCTATTATCATACTGTATTATGCATAATTTCAGCGAGATTCTCTTGCTGGCTATGAATGCAGTAAAGAGCACCGTGTCGACACGCGGACATTGGTCAAGAAGAGGACAGCAAAATGTGGAGCGGCCAATATCGATACGACATGTCTCAAGTCTCTGCCACCAATAGACGAACTCAAGGAAAAACAGAACATATCATAAGGAAAGACTGACAGGGACATACAATCTTCAATTCAACTGTACCAGCTATGTGCATGCGTGTGTGGACGTGTGTGTGCGCGCGCGCGTGGACGTGTGTGCGCGCGCGCGTGGGCGTATGTGCACTGGATCTGTGCATTTGCAGATTTGCGTGCTTCTCTTGCGACGGGCGCATACATGGTACCAAGAGTACATAACCCCCCCAGAGTGTGCAACGCCGATCCAGCTCTGTGTAGGGTCTTGGTCGAGCGGAATCGGATCTTCTGATGTCATGCGTACACTTCACACCAGCGCAAGGCCGGTCTCGAGGCAGGGCACCATTGTTTTTGATCCAAGAGTACCCGCGACTCCCCGGGTTCCCCTCAGATGTGTACGGTATTATGACGCAAAGATCCGATTCCGCTCGACCAAGACCCTATGCAGAGCTGGATCAGGTGTTGCACACTCTGGGGGTTATGTACTCTTGATGGTACATGGCGCGTGTATGCGTGTGTGTTGTCATTGTACAGTCAAGTAGTTTTAATACAGAATGAAAAGTGGAGCAAATAACACAACAGTACAGACATAACCGAACAGCTTGCGACGTACCTTCTTAATTTTCTTCGGATCGGTCTCTGCCGAATTGGCCATGAAAGCTTGGCGGATATGGTCGGCAGTGACTACCAACACCAGTACAACACACCAAACACATCATTGTTACATGCATTCGTTTAACACTATGGGTAACCTGAAGCCCAAAGGCAACGGTGCCTGCACCAGGGATGGCTCCGGACCAAACAAAGAGATTGAATACCACATCAACAGTATCAACAGAATTGTTCATGGGTTCCTTGAGCCTGAGTCAGAATAAGTTTTCCGCATCCGTAAGAAGGCCACCACCCTCAAGGATCAAGGTGTAGATGCAGCTCCTAAAGCGGTGGGAGGTGAGTAGATCAGACCCACCAGAAAGTGGTGAACGACCCCAAATCACAATCAACAGCATATGTGAAAAAGGCACTGGGACACAGAAATAGAGACTACACATGATCGATTGAATTGGTAGCGGCATTGAAAGGGTGATGAAGCGCCCAATACCACTGACCAGAGCTTTAGAGACATGTTTGAAAGTTTCTCCCGCTGAGGCACAATCAACACGTGGCAGGTTCTCACAAACTAGAGCAGTGAGAGACCTGGTGACAACGAAAGGGCTAGAAGTGCAGAGCACATTCGCTGAGGCAACGACTTACTTCTGTCTTTCTCCGTGTTCTTGCCAAACGCTAAGCGCGACGCCAGTAGTAGCTTGCGGTACGCGCCGAGAACCTACCAGCACATTGCAGCAAAACAAACATTATCAGATACACTCATACCTTGGCTATCCGGACCCTGAAGTTACGTGCACTTTTGATCTACGAGCACCCTATGGGTGAGATTCAGCGGAGATATTACTACTCTTTCGTTACTTTTTGTGGAAATAGTGACGTCAAATACCATATCGATGGCCTTTCCCCATCAAAATGTACATGTATGTGAATAGGAGTTGTGGACATTTCAAAGTAACGAGCAGAGCCCGGTCCCGGACCGCCCGGATAAACGAGGTACGCAATACTGAAGAAAGTACGCCACCAGTGAAGCAAACCCCTCGTCACAGTTCATTACAATTACAACTTTTACAAGCACGTCCAAGCGCAAAGAAAATATGGTACGCTGCCAATGAAATGTAAATAACAAGATGCTCCGTCTCGAGATACAGCAGGGCTCGGTGTGTGCACCGCTGCTACACTGGGCTCGGTGTGTGCACCGCTGCTACACTGGGCTTTAACAGTGTAATGGACCACACAATGAACCGCTTCCAGTTCGCAGACGGTTTTTCGTTTTGCCAAATGTGCAACGAACTGAGGGCCCCCGCAGTGCACGAAGACCAGCTACGGCAATGGCCAAGCGAAATATGACCACTGTTGAGATCTCGAGCGTGCCGCTGAAGCCGTGCAGTTGTGCCGCTCAGCTTAGTGCACACGCTCGTCATGTAACCCACTGCACATCTCTCGAGTGAGCGGTCGCGTTGAACTGACCGGCACGGTAACTTGTTCTTCTGCTTGCCGTAGTGATGCAAGCTGGGTATTCTAAAGCGAATAACCTCTATCCTGAGACTGACAGGATCAGTCCAAGCTGCCATTTTCGTTCATATACATTCAGCATGCATAACTGTATATCCTTACAGCCTGCTATCAAGAGTAGATAAACAAGAGTGTGCAACTCCGGATCTCTCCTGCACAATCTGCAGATACCCCGCGCCCACGGCGGAATTTTTTGTTTACGTCACCTTTTTTCAGAGAAACGCGGATTCTGCCGCAGAGCAGTGTGAGAGCACGTGCTGGGCACCGACCTTGTAGTGTAAAGCCCAGCCAAGTGCACGAGGGAAAACTCTCCAAAAGGCTCGCAGCGCGTGCGTCGTCGAAAAGATTACGTCAACAAAAAATTCCGCCGTGGGCCAACCCATCCGCGAGTTGCACACTCTTGTTTATCTACTCTTGCTGCTATGTATAACACTGTCTCTGCAGTCTGCACTATGCACAGATACTAGTATGGGTTTGCATCACTCAAACTCTTAGTCTTACTCATGTGCCCTGATCATCGTGACACCCAGAGCTGTGTGCTGTGCACCCAACAGAAAGGCAAATCATAACGTTCACGAACAACGAGAAACAATTCACCCAGTCACCGGGATCTTCCCGACCAAGACCGGCAGGCCCACACACCCTCGAAAATAATCACGTGGTACAGGACATAGGGCACTTAGGGGTCAGGCAGGTGGACGAGGAGTCCCAAGATCGGGGTTGTAGGTAGTAAATCTACATCTATCGAGTTATAGAATGTACACGTACTACTGCCGTACTGGGTCAGAAGGACAAATGGAACAAACTACTGCCTATTACTAGTACATCAAAGCCTAGAACGAAGCTTGACAACGACTTCAAGTGCAAGCGCCGCGATTGCAAAGATGTGGGGCAATGCCTAACTCGTCAAAAGTGTATGAATGGCAAATAAAAATGTAATCTTCTTCGAGATCGAAGGAAAATCCGAACACGAACACAGGGAGGTCAAATCGCTGCCTTCCGACAGCTACACAGCGTTACATGGTCAACATAGAACTCACCTGTGGTCGAAGAGGAGATGTTGCCATGTTGATTATTGTAGTTCGTACAGAAACAGCGATAGTCACAAGAAGAAATCAGCAAGAAGAGCACAGCTCCAAACACAGCTCAGCTAGTCAGAAGGGAAGTGCACGTGCCGTATCTCTCTCCCTCCCGTTTTGAGCCGACACACGTGAAGCAGAAAACGCGCTCGCCGCACCGTACCGCCAATCACGATCACGTCATAATTGTTGTACATTATTATGTCCCCAAGAGTTCATAACCTCCAACAAAGGCCCAAGAGGGTGCAACGGGGCATCTAGACCCAGCGCTCGGGGGGTTATGAACTCTTGATGTCCCCTATAAACCCGTACTCACCCCCATGTAGTACCGGTACATCGTACACACATCATGACCTCCATATTTGATCCATTTCCCCCAGGGAGTCATAAAATACGACTCCCTGATTTCCCCGCTGCCATGCCCCTGCATGCACATTAATTTTGTAGCCCGTTTTCCCTCCTTCTGACCCTGCACATGCACATAAACCACCGTACATTTGATCTAATAGAGAGGTTCTGCAAAACGAAAATGTGTACGAACTTTCGCTCTACGTCATGAAGTGAGTTTAATACTTCGTACGAACTTTCGCAACTTTGGACGCGAAACTAATTACTTGCAGGGAACGCGAAATGAACTTTCGTAGGAAGTTTCGTGAGACCATGGCGTACGTGCACTTGGCGCGTGCAAACTACGAAAATGTGCAGAACACAAAGTTCGTGCGAAAATTCGTACACATTTTCGCAAGGCCTGTCGCGAAACTTCGGTCGAATTTTCGTTGTGCAGAACCTCTCACAGCTGCAGCGTGAATCACTTTCAAATGGGTCAAATGTGGAGGTTATGAAGTGTGTACGGTGAATGTGTATCACTATTGCATGCAGGGCTAGGGGTAGGGGGAAATGGTGCAATTATAGGGGTTATGAAGTGTGTATGAACTATTGCATGCAGGGGTAGGGGGAAATGGTGCAATTATAGGGGTTATGAAGTGTGTATGAACTATTGCATGCAGGGGTAGGGGGAAATGGTGCAATCATGAATGATAGGGGTTATGAAGTGTGTATGAACTATTGCATGCAGGGGTCGAGATCCAAATATGGGGTGCGTATAACAGTACCGTGCTTGCAGATCCATGACATCCATACTATGACCATAGTAACTAGTCAGCTAGTCTCACTACAGTGCACTGCGTTCATGTTTCATATTGACCTTAGAAATACTAGTCTAGTCTAGACCTTTTGCTGCACTTTCAACCGCCTCTTTTACGCCCGGCCCACACCGTCATTCAGCTCCTTCTTCTGCATAGAACCAAATAGCATTCCTTGTGCATTGACACTTTCTACTGCCCACGCATCTACTTTGACTTTTCTTCTTCTCTCTGCTGAGCTTTGCCGTGACCATTGCTGTTGCAGGACGTATGCTGTCTGCCTATAAAAGCTGCTGTTCACAATTCTCTACAGTTCAGTTAGAAATGCCAGTTAGAAAGTTCAGTTAGAAAGTTCAGTTAGAAACGACAGTTAGAATTGCCAGTTAGAAACTTCAGTTAGAGACGCCAGTTAGAGTTAGAGTCAGAGTTAATGTAGTCTTCAGCTTAGTTCAGTAATAATAAAGTTAACAACAGTGTGCTCACTGAGACCCGTGTGCATTTGCCTCCGAGATAGACTGCGGCCCGCTACATAATTGATGCCAGCGGTGGGATTCGCTACAATTACTACATAATTATGTACACTCTTTTCTTCACTGGCCAAGACATTCTCAACCTATAAGGTCCCTTGTAGACTAGAGCTTTAGGCCGGTAGATAGTTTGGTTTCATCGAAGGCAGTTGCCTTTCTATCTCTCTTTCATTGCTTTGTCAATACAGTCGTCCCTCTCTAATCCGGCACTTTATAATCCAGCACCCTCGATAAACCAGCACAATTTTCAGTAGCCAAAATGTCCTCTTCATGCACATTGCAGCAGTAAATCAGATTTGTTAATCCAGCACCCTCCCTAATCCAGCAGATTTTCGTGGCACAAATGGTGCCGGATTATAGAGGGACCACTGTATTACAGTAATAATACAACTCTATCGATTTACGCCATTTGTGTGCGTTTTAAGACTCATAATAAGAGTTGTGCTAGGGCTAGGACCCCCCCCCCCCCCCAAATATCCATGATTCGCTGCTTTTCCTCCTGCCGCACTTCACGATTCGTTTGTGACTTTCTGCGTCGCTAGCTCTGTACTAGACATTGTTAGCGTTTTACCGTTCACGCTATTTCGACGGTCGGCCTGCACCGTTTTTTGTGTGTGTACGACTCGACTCGTACTAGACATGGCATTTTATAGTTCACGCGCTAGATCCAACAGCACTCGTACCCCAAACCCAAAATACCGTCGGTTTGCAATTTGGTACCGTTTCGACGATAGAAAGCTCTTTTTAGCGGGAGAACGAAACGGTACTAGGGAGGTTCTGCTATACGTGAAACGTAGAGAAATCACGTAGAGAGCAGGCGTCTGGGTTAGAGTCTACGGCTTCGCGTGTTTTGGCTCCAGATTTCTACGCGGAGGTGAGGTTCTCTACGTTGTGGCACACGCAGAGGAAATGCGTACGGATCTGCTGGGTATCATTCGAGTGCAGGCAGAAAACTGCCAAATATGGAAAGGGAATTCCCGGTACACATTCCACGTGACTTCTCTACGTGAAACGTAGAGCAGAACAGGATTTCTTTACGTTACGGGAACGCGAAGAGAGTTCGCGTGATTCTTTGCGTCGCGTTCCCATAACGTAGAGCAGAACCTCCCTAGTAACTTGTAGGGTTACCTCACACGCGTCAGGAGTCAGGACTCAGCTGCCGAATGTTTTTTTACCGTGTCTCGATATTTTACTACTCCCTGAAAGGAAGTTTTTTCTTTCTTTTGTATTTGTGGTACGAAGTTTTTTCTTGGCTTTTGGCTTTTCGATTGGTTGATTCTTGAGCTTTCTCCAGTCATCTCCCCTGCTATTTTCCCTCAGGACCAAAGTCAGAAATTGATAAAAATGGTGATCCGGCCTGTCGATAGGCACCGGCGGATTATGCCCGCGAAATCATGGAATTATGCTTTCATGGATTCTCGCATTATGCTCGCAAAATCCTCATAATGCTCTGGTACGCGGGGATACATATTCACTTTGTTGTGCTTATGGAGCCTAAAAGTTCGGACAATTGTGCCTTTTTCGTACTTGCAAGTGGCCATAAGTACAACAAAATACATGAGTATCCCCATACCAAGGTGTCCATGCATACTAGAGATCAACCTGGAAAAGAGAAAACATTACTTCTTCTATTCATTAGTTGACTTCTTTTGCTTTGAAAGATTTTTTCCTTACCTTTGAAAACTGTCATGTTCAACTGTCTTCGTAATCGTCATACTCGTCCAACCGACTGTCACCCTAACCCTGCGAATTCTCATAATCAGCTCATCTCTCCCGTAGCTCCAGCTCTCCTTCCATCATTACCGAACATCAACTATACCTCAATTTGTTGAATTATTAGAGCAATACCCATAGCCTGCACAGTCATAGCTGCTAAGATCCAGACGTCATGACTTCCTAACAAGCATAGTGTACATGTACGCGGAATTTTGCGGACTACCCATCACTATCTCGTCCGCCCCGGGATCCGGATACCTGATAAAGGCTGATTCACTCGCATCTTCTGCTACATGTGCTGTATCAGGGTGAGAAAGAACTTTGAGAAGACGAGTTCGAGCACGCAAAATGTATTTCCATGATTTCCACCCTGCTTTTCATTGAAAATACTATCTGCATGACTTCCGAACCCTTTGCTATGCAGACCACCAGCACTGATCAGGTGCATTGTACACAATTGTGTAGCCTACATACTAGAACTGTGATACAATCATGTCATGCAGTTATGCTCCTACCTCCGAAAGGATGCCAAATTATGCTCCAAATTTTCAACCACCAAATTATGCGGCATAATCCGCCGGTGCCTACAGGCTGTCGACGGAATGCACGGAATGACTGTGCGCAGGTGTAATTACTCTCAGCTTCAAGCTCGTACCGTGGGGTACACGTGACCTACCCAAATCGTCGGCACGGCGCTCACGGTACCGTAGTGGGAATCGGCCCACACATCAAAAACAGTAGACTCGCCCTCTGTACACGCCGACCGTCGAAATAGCGTGAACGGTATTAGGGCCGATTCCCACTACGGCACCGTGAGTGCCGTGCCGACGATTTGGGTAGGTCACGTGTACCCCACGGTACGAGCTTGAAGCTGAGAGTGATTTACACCTGCGCACAGTCATTCCGTGCATTCCGTCGGCAGGCCGGATCACCATTTTTTTCAATTTCTGACTTTGGTCCTGAGGGAAAATAGCGGGGGAGATGACTGCAGAAAGCTCAAGAATCAACCAATCGAAAAGCCAAAAGCCAAGAAAAAACTTCGTACCACAAATACAAAAGAAAGAACAAACTTCCTTTCAGGGAGTAGTAAAATACCTACTACTCACTGCATTCGACCTCACGGAATACCACGGCATGCCATTTCCACCCCCCAGAGACCCTCGGCACCGGAATGTCCACGGCGCGGTACGGCAGGAGCCACGGAATGAACTCGCGCCAAAACTGCCCCTCGCGTGAGCAAATCACCATGGGTACTCACGGCACGGCACTCACGGTACCGTAGTGGGAATCGGCCCTTAGTGAGGTTTTGCATTCCGAATTTCGGTACAGCGTTCTTCGGTCATTTGTCGAACATCAAAATGTCGAATTTTCGCACCAACGTTTGTTTTGCAAGTCGAAAATGATGTGTTTTCATTTCGTGAGCCCCAGCATCAGCAACGTCCTGTCCCGTGCTCCTTTTCTTGCTGATTCCAACGAACTTTGATCGCCCAAAGAGTCGAGGGCCAAACCTGCCTCCTCAGTCGTCTCAGAAAAACCAACTCCATGGCCAAGTCAAATTTTATGCGTGTCGCCATAGTCTTTTCAGCCACACAGATGACGGTGAGGACACTCCAGGCGAAAGAGAGTAGACAGGCAGTGGAGAGGAGCAATCAGAGGTAGCTAGTAGTAGTAGTAGTATTCTTTTATTTTCCATCGGAAGCCTCAACAGTGATGAACACAACTCT